GGAAGGATTTGAATTGTGAATTTCATCGTATTTTATTGGTCCAGTAAAAGCTATCACCCTACTTTATTCTTCTCTTCCAAATTTGTCAAAATGCACAATTTCGTAGGTTGGAATTATGATGTGTTTTCACTGCACAAATTGGGCAGACTAACAACTCTTAGTATTGCTTTTATGTGGCTGGAAATATTTTATTGTAAGCCAAATATTGTAACGTAAGCCAAACAGCAGGATAGCATGCATCAAAGTGAAAATTATTAACAACACAGCCCTTTAATTACCACACAAGGTCAGAGTCTCGGCAGTGACTCAGGTCTTGCGAAATGGGTATGTCGTAAAGCAAAAAATATCCAGCCAGATTAATTAGGTTGTTGTGGGTAGGGATAGCTTTACAATGTATCATCTGGAAGCAGAACACTGTGTTTTAATGCTCTGTGATACAATGACATGCTAGGAGGGATACAATGATGTGACTGAACAAAAATCAACATAGTTGTAGTCAGTACATTTATGGATGTTTTGAAGTGGTAACATCTTACATTGACTCTGGGATGTCATATGGCATAGTTTACCTACACTTCCAAAGTGTTTGACAAAGCACAGCATAAAATACAAGTCAGTGAGTATCAAGGGCAAGGAATGGATATAGATTTTAAATTTTCTGAAGGGACGAAAGCAAATTGTAGCGGTTGAGGGAGTTAGGTCAAAATGTTGGGATGTATTAAGTTGGGGGCAAACGGTTCTTTACTGAAACCCTTCCTGTTCCTTGTACACATCAATGACCTGGATTCGCAAATGCAGTGTAAGTAACTAAGTTTGCAGATAACACAAAGTCGAAGGGAAACGGTGGAATCAGAGGATCCAAAGTACAAAGACAGTGACTTGGGATGTCCTCCCAACGTGAAAAGCGCTTTACAAATGTAATTTGTTGTTGATAGGGCAAGACATGGGTTGGGCTAGTGACTAACAAATGAAGTTCAATGTAGATGTAAGGTACTGCATACAGGAAGGAAGATTAGGAGGCACATGTATTCCACAGATGGTATAGGATTTGTCAAGGGAGAAGCCAAGAGATATTCCAGGCAGGGCGAAACCTTGAGCAAGTTTCCTTACTCCACACGCCTAATATTAATCCCTCCAAAACCAAAAACAATAATAAATTGGTCATTTTCAATCTATGTTTGTGGGACATTGCTGTGCGCAATTGGCTGCCGCGTTTGCCCACAAATATACTGTCAATTCACTTTACAGTGTGTTCTGTGAAGCGCTTTGTGACATCCTCCCGACGTGAAAAGCGCTATATCAAATGCAAGGATTATTATTATTATTATTAATATAGGGAGCTTCCCAGGCTCTCTAGGTTGTGCAAAGGAGATCAATGAGGATGATCCCCAGTGTTGGAGGAATAGGCTTGGAGAAATGATTAGATAGACAAGCAGTAGGTATTCTGGAAGGATGAGATCTTCTAGATGTGATGTGATTATAGCTTATTCTGCCTGGCATTAGAACCATAGAAATGTACTGAACAGAAGGAGGCCATTCAGCCTATTGTGCCTGTGCTGATTCTCTGAAAGAGCTATCCATTTAGTTCTATTCCCTCCCTTTCCTCATACCCATTATTGCCTAAACAAATGATATAATTGGTTGCATTTATGTTAGTTTATGAATTATAACACAAAAACAGCTTGCATTTATGTAGTGCCTTTCACGCATGATAGCATCTCGGAGCGCTGTACAATGGCAGGGTTGGATACTGAAAAGGGAGAAGAGGGCGATGGCCATAGATGCAGTTGAAGAAGTATGTCTTCAGGTGGGAATTAAAGATAGATATATAAAAATTGCTGCAAACCTAATTATAGTGGGTATATTTTGCATGGAGCCTGCATTTTATAAAAGTTATTCAGGACAGGCTCATCTTTGAGATGTCTCAAAGACGTGATAAGGCACTATATCAAATGCAAGGATTATTATTATGTTATCTTTAATTTACCTTGGAGTGAAATTTGCAGCATTTCATTACATGCTCATAATTATCATGTCAAATGTGCTATGAAATACCACAACCTTACTTTTACTTTAATTGTAAACAGGCTCAATAACTCTTGTCCCCAAATTATTTGCATTGGGGTCATCCATTTTTGCGCTGTTTTACCACCCCTGTAGTATTATGGTGCAAATTTAAGGTACCAACTTAAATTCAATTAAACATCCTGGAAAATGCATTTAAGTACTCTACACAACATATTAACTTAATTTGGTAAGTATTTAGAAATCTGAAGGTTGTGGGTTATGAACCACACCAGAACTTGACTTCACAACGACAATCCAGCGCTCAACTGAGGATGCTACATTGTTGGAGGTGAGGCCATTCAGATGAAACATTAAACCAAGATCTCATCTGCCTCAGGAGGAGGTCAAAGATCCAATGGCACTATTTGATTTGAGAGGGGAGTTTCTCCCAGTGTTCTGGCCAGTGATTCTCCAGATTAGTGCATCTTTCACCTCCCGGCTGTTTGTAGGACCTTGCTGTGGGCAAACATCTGCTATACTTGCCTGCATTTGACAATAATTACTATTAGCCACTTTGAGACAGTTTTACAGTAAAAACCCATTGTAAGGCAGCCTCTTATAACATTGGTTTGCATGAAAGGCACATGCCCTCTGGACCTACATATTGTCTGGGTGAACAGACTGACCAGGTTCCAGCGTATTCTAAAAAAAGGGTGATTTTCAAGTCATCAGGTCACCAATATTGTCACTTTCTCATTCAGTGACAACCTGGTGACCAGGAAGTCAGTCATTTTTTAGCCCAAGAAGCAGCCAACTTAATACACATGCCCACTGTGCTGATTGATGGCCATTCTTGATATAAAAGAAGTTGAAATTTTATGAACCCTCACGTCCATCTTGTTATGGGGTTCTACTGTAATAAGCCTTTAGAAAATGGCAAGTTCTTTCTTCAAGTTCTTATTATCTTAAATTTGTTCCCTCTCATTGCTGACTAGCTGACCAGTAATAATATAACCCTTCACCAACATGAAAGTGTTAGCCTGGTTCAGTTGGTAGTAAACTTGCCTTTGGGTCAAGGTCCATGTAAGGACTTTGATTTCATAGTGCAGTGCTCGGGGGACTGCTGCATGTTGGAGATGATGTCCTTTTAGACGATAGACCAAGGTCCTATTTACCTGTTCAGGGGGATGTTAAAGATCTCATGACACTCTTCAAAAAGAGAATCGAGTTCCTCCCAATTTCCTGGCCAACAGTCTTCCAGATTTTAAAACAATGGTTATTCACTTCATAGCTGTTGTATTATTTCTCTGTTTAATTTGATTCCATCATAGATTTCTTAATGCTGTATATAGCTTTATAAACGGACTTGCCATTGTCTTATCCAAAATTTACTATTGAATTGTTTCAATAATTCATTCTTATATCCATCCATGATTCCATGACCACCATTGAATTCTGGCCTATGCTCTTCCCTCTGAGTACATTTTCTGTTTGATTTTCCCATTGTGATCGCATCTCTGTTCAACATCTTGCTAATACCTATGATGTAGTTGAGTATACACAATATGAAAAAAAACTTTCTCAAAATGGAAGCTACAGATGGGATTGTAACCCAAATCTTCCAGTCTCTCCACAATAGAACACACTAATATCCCACATGCTGTGTGCCCATAAACAACCTCATAAATTGGTTGCAAAAAGTAAAAGCATGTTTCCTGAATGAAACCTCGTGAGATTAACTCATTGTCTTGTTTAATGTCAGATAGTAAAAACGCATGTCAAATAAATGACAATATTCTTTCCTCGTACAAAATTATTTACAAGTGAAGGCAGTTTGTTCCCTTTTATAGGAAATGTTTCTGAATGCACTGTGCTGCCCTGGAAGATGCAGTAGTCTTGAATTGATAATTGTTGTTGGCATTTCAGAAATGCTACATCCTTTTCGTTCAAGAGACGATATGTACTTCTTGGCTGGTGAGATTCTTCCTTGGTTCCCATGGATACCGCAAGAAACAGAATCAATATTGGTCTGATTCCATTGTTGGCTTAAGCCAAAGTGGGTTCCTCTTTGGTGGGAAGACTAGTCTTTGTCCAACAATAACATTCTTCTAACCATGCACTTCTCCACATCTGTGCCACTCACTTATGTCACAGCTGCAAGTTAGTATCCATGAGAACGAACAACACAAGCTCAGATCAAAAGATATTTTGATACCTTAAATGCATGTAAAATATATAAACTAATTAATAGATTGATTTGGTATTCTAAACAGAAAACCTCCCTGATTTATTCACAGTAGAAGAGACTTCTAGCAGTTGTAACCGTAACTATTTTTTTTAAAAAAAGGCATGGCTTATTAGCAGATTGATTAGTTTTTTTACAAACATACACATCCACGAAAGTTAACATCCGTCTGAAGACCTTCTGAAAACCCACCCACCTTGAATCCAATCCCCAGTTCAGGTGCAAACCTTTCAATGTCCAGCCCCTTGGGACATCCTCCTTAAGTTAAATGCCCTATATAAATGCAATGTTGTTGTTATACAATCACCACACTTTATAGTATATCCTGTGAAGCCCTGAGACAATCTGCCGACATGAAAGGTTCTATATCAAACGTAAGGATTATTATTATTACTAACACGATCAATAGGAACATAACAAATATTCTTTACATTAGCAACATGACTGTGATATTAGATGAACAGCTTCAGTATATTTGTTGTAATCTCAACAGTATTGGGAATCACAAATGTAACAAATTGTCTTACAAATGTCAGTATTTATTTTTATTTGGCACTTGTGATTTGTATGCAAAGTATTTCAACACAAACATTCCTACAGCAATATGTCATACGGAGATGCTTTTGTGGATCAAGTCACAAAAGAATGGGAACAGAATGTCAGTAAGATCTCAGTGAAGAGAAAGGGCATATATGTGCTGCAGATAAAGTATGTTAGCTTCACAGCCCTTATTTTTTTCCCACTGCAGAACCCGTGTTGTATCTCCTGTTATAGATGTCATTGACTGGAAGACCTTTCAATATTATCACTCAGTTGATCTGCAACGGGGGGTTTTCAACTGGAAGCTGGACTTTCATTGGGAACCAATACCAAAATATCAACAAAAATGGCGTCAGTCTCCCATCAGCCCAATCAGGTAAATGATGGATCCAATGTATTATAGTGTACTTCAATTCAAAGCAACTTTCCCTGTTAATGTGTAATATTAAGATGGCAACTGTTCTTTAAGACCATCGGAGACAACTTCATTCCTCACCAGATGCCTGAAATTCCACCTAGTCTAAGCCAATAAGCCCAGTACATCTACATCTAAGATCGCACAGATTTGTGGAAATTCTTCCATTGTCTTACAAGTTATATTTATATAGCGCTTTTCACGTTGGGAGGACAACACAGAACTGTACAAGGTTGGTTAGGTACCCGAGGTCGGGGAAGGGGGAGGGAACTGAAGAGAGTGGGGGGAAAGGGGAGGAAGATGACTGAGAATGGGGGTAAACAGGTAAGCTTTCAGGTGAGCTGTGAAAGTGAGGAGGAAGGGGACGAGTCGGAGGGCCCCTGGGATGTTCCAGAAAGCGGTGGGAGAATGGCTGAAAGGGCAGAAACTTAAATTAGATGCTGGTGTTTGGCATATCTTCAATAGTGATTGTCCTTTGTCATTCTTCTGTCTGTCTTAGGAGCCCAGCAGTTCCTGGGATGTTAATGATCAATCGGCATTACTTCCAAAATCTTGGTGCATATGATCCTGGAATGTCAATGTGGGGAGCAGAGAATGTGGAACTCTCCCTCAGGGTAAGGTTATAATTCATATTTCAGATCTAATCAAAACCTGGATCATTTATCTTTGTCACAATGAAAACGTGAAAGCCACATTGCAGCTTTGGAGTTTTGAACTGCTGATTTCATTGCTTTTTGTGCGGAAAACACAAGACCATTATTTTGTACTGTAATGTGGAAAGAGGCAATCTATTTGTTGTCATTAGATCACAAGATTGATCTGGATGACAAAGGTCCTTTGGCCCATGTGGTCTCATCCTTTCAGAATACCCACCCTCATCATTGCATCAAGTTGCTTTTTAAATGAGTGTAGTGTCCTGGCCTCAACCATCCTTCCTGGCAACCTGTTCAAGTCGTTGATTACCTTATGAATAAAAAAACAGTTCCTGGTATCTGTCCTGAAATTGCCCTTTACAACTTTGAACCTATATCCTTCTGTTCTCCTGTCTCGGTGCATCCTATAGTACTTTTATCAATCCTATTTAAGCTTTTATACACCTCTATGAAGTCCCCTCTGAGTCGTCTTCTCCCAAGACTGAAGAGATGCTCCGAGCTGCTAGTCACGTGAAGGGTTGGTGTTGACATTTTAGCTTGTTGACCCAGTTTTAAACGACTATTACCTTTAATTGATAGGGAGCCTTTTTCTTAAATAAACTAGATTGTAGTCAACCTAAGGCTCTGGTTATTGCCATTACTGTTGTTGCCCATCAGAGGTGATAGAATGGCTTACTAACTCATTGTATCATCCAGTTCCTAGAATGCCTTCAAAATTATAAAACTTTGTTGGAATATTACTTGTTAGAATAAAATATTTAGCTTTGTTTGTATAGGCACATGAGTGTGCATGCACCTGTATTTGTATGGATCTGTGTGTTTGTGCATGTGTGTTTGCTTGTTTGTATGTGTGTGTGTGTTTGGATATGTGTGTTTGGTCATGTGTGTACATATGTGTCTGTGTATATGTATATAATAATAATCCTTGCATTTGATATAGCGCCTTTCACGTCGGGAGGACGTCCCAAAGCGCTTCACAGAACACACTATAAAGTGAATTGACTGTATATTTGTGGGCGAATATAATTTGTATCTATATGTATGTGTTTATGCGTGTATGTTTTTCTGCTATTTGGCTGGTTCCCTACCTAACACATAACCATAGTATTTGTCATGTGACAAACTGAGATGAATTATTACATTTTTATTCACTGCCCTCCTTGAACGATGGCATTTGTATAATTTTGCCTGCCTATTCAGTGACTCATTATCTTTTTATTATCTGTGTGGCCATCTGGCTAAGATGAAAAATCAGTCTTATCATGTGATTTGAGTATTAATAATAATAATACTAGACTTGTGCAATCATCCTCAATAACTGCATCCACGTCACTTAGAGCAGCATTCTCAAACCCAGATTTGTACTGAATCACACATGTACCTAATAATAATAATAATAATAATCCTTGCATTTGATATAGCGCTTTTCATGTCAGGAGGACATCCCAAAGCGCTTCACAGAACACACTGTAAAGTGAATTGACTGTATATTTGTGGGCGAACACGGCAGCCAATTGCGCACAGCAATGTCCCACAAACAGTCGTAGATTGAAAATGACCAATTTATTATTGTTTTGGGTTTTGGAGGGATTATTTCCGTATAACATTAGCAATCCTTGCATTTCATATAGTACATTACCACATTGTCGAATGTCTCGAAAAGTTTTCCGGGGTGAAATGTAAAGTGTAGTGACTGAATTTGTAATCGTGGCAGATTTTTTAATTTCATTTCCATGCCTTTTCTCCATACAACCTTTTTTAATTAGACGATCAGACAATTGCTCCCAAAGAGTGGGAGCTACCCACTCTTTGGTGTTACTGTTGCTCCTCAGTTCAGCATTTGTCATGCCAATGGAAAAGTAGTTTTATCTTCCATTCTGTTCCTCCAATTTACCTTGCCAAGCTTCTAAGCAAAGACTCTGACAAGTTGAAAGGTTTTGTAGAGCATATTTGTGTACATAGGTTAATGCTACCCTTCCCAACCATTGATATTCAGGTAGATAGCAAACTAGCAGGTACCAGAAAGGATAATTACATTGATACATTTCAAATAATAATAATAATAATAATCCTTGCATTTTGATATAGAGCTTTTCACGTCAGGAGGACGTCCCAAAGCGTTTCACAGAACACACTGTAAAGTGAATTGACTTTATATTTGTGGGCGAACACGGCAGACAATTGCGCACAGCAATGTCCCACAAACAGTCGTAGATTGAAAATGACCAATTATTATTGTTTTTTGTTTTGGAGGGATTATTATTAGGCTCTGTGTGGAGTAAGGAAACTTGCCCAAGGTTTCGCCCTGACCTGCCTGGAATTGAACTCAGGTCTCTCACTTGCAAAGCGAGTGCTCTAACCACTGAGCTACAGGACTCTACAACTGTGGGTCACTGTATCATAACCAATGTATTGGACATTCCCTTCCTGAACACACCTTGTAGAAAAAATAGCAGTGATCTTCACACATTTCACCTTGTCTGGGGTGAAAATTGTACTGTATGTGTTTATTAACACCGATGTTAAAATGGTTGCATTCAGATGCCAGCCATCCATACATGGTACTGATAGCACACAGATTGCAGTATTGCCTGCCAGTTAAAGTGATTTTGTCTTAGCTCTGATTTTTGTTTGATTAATTAAACTGGAATCTTGCTAACCAGCAGTCCAATCCTCTCCACCGGCTTTGGAGCGCAATCATTGTGACTAGTTTAAAGGGGAAGAGTGGAGAGTCCACAGTCTGCAGATTGGTCAATGTTTAATACATCAACTGGTCACATTTTTCAACAATGTGTTGATCAACAAATTATCATATAGTACAACACATATCACAATTTTTATCTCTCTATCTGGTACCACTGACAGTGATGAATATTTTGGCTCCTGTTCTTACTTCTAAATAAACCATCTCAGAAGTGGTGCTGGTGATTGACTATCTTGTCAAAGACATACAGTGATCTCTTCACATTCTCTTCCTGCTTCAGTTAATGCGAACAACATTTTGTGCAGACAAATCAATAATCGTTTGTTTTAGGCATTCTTAAATTCAAAATGTTTCAGCACCTCTGAATTAAAAATGTCCCAGATATGTTCGGAAAATAAAACCCAGCTCTTTCCACACACTTTAATCTGTTCTCTACCTTATAAACGGTTACACACAGTGTACAGTCATGGTTGAATTGCTAGCAGTAATTATATAAATGTTCTGCCTTCCCCAGCACATACTAAAATAGAAAAACATTGCACCAGTCCCTCTCCTCTTCTAGGGATGATGACTAACTCTGCAATGCAATGCAATGCAATGCTGGTGGCAACATACTTCCAGGATGTTGCTAAAGAGGCAATTTTTCATGGATGAGACCTAACCTATGCAATGAGTTTTTCAATAGTGTGTGTTTGTATGTGGGTTTCAGGAGCAGTAGATTACACTCAATTCTGTTCTCTACATACACTTGCATACTCGAGAAGTCATCCCCACCACTGACCTGTAAAATAACCTCAGCTCCTGTAGTGTAGAGAATTATAGTTCAGCTTATTAGCTATAATAAGATGTGATATAGCATTGGACTGCCAAACTGGACTATGAGCTCAAAGTCCAGGTGTGGGGCTTGAACCACCAACCTTCTAACTCAAAGGTGAAAATGCCACTTGAACCCTTAGCTGAAGCTCAGACCAGGTCTTCTTGGGCAGTAGGGTTTAATGCTATATGATGAGGGATTTATATATGGGAAGCCTCAGAGATTCGTTATTTACAACAGTGAGCTCCAATTTGCAGTGATTTCTAATAATAATCAATGTTAATTATTCATTTTATTATTTTATTTTATTAATTTATTAATTTGGTCATCGACTTCATGTCTGTTTGTGGGCCATTGTGTAAATGGGCTGCTACATTCGCCTAGACAAAATCCACAGTCAATCAATCCACTTTACAGTAAATTCTGTGAAGAGTTTTGCGACTTCTCGACAATGTGATGAGGTGTTATATCAAATGCAAGGATTATTACGATTATATACACACTGATTCCCAAATAGTGATTACTAGCAGTAACCAGAAGTGTGCCACAATGACTGACATACCTGAAGTAGACTCATGGGGACTTTGAGTCTATGGGTTGAAAAATGCGTCATTGAATGTCATAAGTATCACTGGTGATAGTTATCACCGGTTGGTGATTGAATTCAGCAGGTATTCCTGGAACCTGCAATTAAATATTGAGCTCAGCCAGGCAGCAGGTTCAAAGCACAAGAGTCAATGTTAACAAATTAATAAATTAACAAAATGAAATAATAAAATTAATAATTAATAAAAGGTCAATGACTCCTGCAATTAGCTTTGCGATCAAGCATTTACACAGAGTCACGGTTATCAATTGGGGCAAGTGGGAGCTCCAGTGATGTGATAATTATCACCAGCGATGAAAATGATTTTGAATGTCACATCTTCACCAGTACATTAACACATTTATTTCGGAACTGCCAGAAATTAGACTTCAAAAAGTGGGAGGTAATACGTTTCCCAGATAGCTAAAACAGCAGGTTTGACTGCATTTCTGAATGAAATCATTTTTGGCTTTGTTGGTATTGTGTGTATTGAGGCTGAATCCAGGTCTTGCAACTGATGTGCATATTGCAGCATTTTCGAGGTGCATAAATGGAACTGAACATTTGACACAATTGTTTTTGTTGCAAAAAAGTACATTTGATGGGATTTTCCTGGCACAGACCCAGCCATAATTAACAGTATGACAGGTCTGTCAGAACAACTCCAGATTCACCTGGTGTTTCTGATGGCTCAGTTCTGAGGGGAGACAGATTGAACTCACCCTGCCCTTATTCCAGTGAAATCTCAGCATTTGCACCTTGCCCACATATGGTTAATTGTCATAATCCCGTATGATTGCAAAGCGGTGAGTCTGGAAATCATTTTCACCTTTTGATCAGCTCTCGGCACTATATTCCAGATCATGCTATTCTTTAAAAAAACAAACAGATGTAATTTCATTTCTTTAGGAGAGAGAGAGAAAAAAAAATGTCTAAACCTTTCATCAGGCTATGCTGGTACCAGCATACTGTTAACATGCTAAGAAGGCAGAGAAGTGGGTAGGTAGACCCCATCTGAGTCTAGCTGGCTTAGTGTAGCATTTCAGTGTAGCAGTGTTTGTAGCTTGTTGAGTTCAGCTTCAAATTTGAAGCTGGTTTTCTGTAGTTTTTAAACAAAACTTACAGAAAAACAGCTTCAAAATGAAAGACTGTATTTAAGAATTTGACAAATTTGGGGCTCTAAAATACTATGTTAGACCCAATTAAAATTTCTTTTGTGTTGTGTGAACCGATACCTGCAATACTAAACAAACATGTCATTTTTGCTAAACGAAAGTTACACTTAAAGCAATGCTTGGATCAATTCTATTTATTGGAATACTTTTTGTTTAAGAAATAGATTAGTAATTAATGTTTATTTAGCAAACAAACACTTGATATTCTCACTGTCTTAAACTTAATGGGGTAGAAATTCCATCTGGGTCTAGATTTACTACATGTAGAATTTCAGAGAGTCCAGAATTTGGGAAATTCTTAAATACAGCCTTAAATTTTAAGCTAGTTTTCATAATAATAATCATAATAATGCTTACATTTGATATGGCATCTTTCACATCAGAAGAATGACTACAAGCGCTTCACAGGATATACTGTAATTGGAGTGCCTGTATTTTGTAGATGAATGCAGCAGCTAAATTGTACACAGCAAAGTCTCACAAACAGCTATGGATTGAGTGACCAATTTTTATTTGGAGAAGTGTTGACCAGGACAGTGTGAGAACCTTCCTTCACTTTTTGAATAGTAGCAGGGGATCTTTAACAACCACCTGGAGAGACAGATGGGACCTCAGTTTAGTGTCTCATCTCTCTTGAAATGCAGCACATTTTATGACATTGGGCTCAAGTTTAAGTCCAGGAAAAATTCCAGGCTCTTGATCTTTCTCATACACTTTTCCATATTTTCAACTCAGTGTTGGGTTCTGTACTAAGTATAGTAGTCCAGGACATACCTACGTGAAGGGCACCATATAAATGCAAGTTATTGTTGATGTAGTTCTTTTAAATACGCCATCAAAGCACATGTTTAATTTTAAGATAAAATTAAAACTTTTTTTTTAATACCACACACATACTCTGTGAACTGTGGAATAAGTACACCATAAAAGTACTCTTTATTTGAAAGTTAGATTAACACATAGTATAAGGAATCACTCAATGGCTTGTGAGAAAATGTACCATATAATATAGTGTTGAGCTGTAAAGCCCAGAAGGGTCCCAAGTTAGATTGTAGGTAAATTAATCCTGAAAAGTGTAGTGACTGTGTATTTGTAGGCAAACCCAGCAGCCATTTGCATACAACAATCTCCCACAAACAGCCATCAAGTGAATGACCAGTTTTGTTTGAGGGATTGATAGCCAGGACACTGTGAGAAACTTGCTTCTCTTTTTAAATAGTGCATCAGATCAAGCCTCAAAGCTTTGAGGGGAAATGTAATAAAGATCATGTTTAGTGAAATTCTACCACAATGAGGCCTAGACCAGATTTGATACAAGCTACAAAGCCACAAAAGTACACTTAGTGATTCTTTTGTTTCCTGCTTTACAGTGCATTATCCTCTGAAAATCTATAAGCAGATTCTATAAATTATAATGATGAAAATCTTTCACTGGCAAGTTACCCAACACAATGAATTCTTGCAATATATAGTATTTTCTGTGACAAATAGCTGTCTGTCTGGTTAGAGTTCTGCTAATAGTTTCCATGTTTGAGCTTCACCCATGTGCTGTATAACACTGTCAGAGAATCTTAACTGAATTACAGTATTCATGCATTTCATTTTGCTCTGTTCTTTGAATTGTCTCTTAAGAACATATTTGAGTTGGATTTCATTTCTATTCATTGCTTACAAATGCTGAATTTATTCTTACAATATGGCAAAATCATTGTGAGGCATTATCATACATTTGTGAAATTGTTAAAATCCACAGGTTTAGTTTAATGGTGCTGTTTAAATGGTGATGGGGAAAGTTAAGCAAAAACAGAACTGGCAAAAGAAACTGCCCAGTCATTCACTGTCCCAGAATAAAATAGTGGAATATTCCTTCACTTCACTAACAGATGGAGATGTAACTATCCAACTATTGCAGCTGATCTTCATTTTGAACTATGGGATTCTGTTATGCTTTATTGCAATTCTGCCATACAATGTTTATTAATAGAGTAACCTTTCCACTCATACAAGCTTGCTTTACTGTCTGGGATTCATTGCACTCTCATTTCGTTCCATTTCTGCAGCTCGCTAAAATTTGTACCCATATGGTGTTCACAAATGATTGATAGTCTCTCTCATACACTGTAAAAAGTAAAATCTTGACCACAGCTTCAGATCAATTGCTGTATCTATTCTGTAATTGATGATACATCATTAACTTTTTATACATCACCTCAAGGTTCCTTCTCCAGGGCTTTGCTCTCTCCCACTCTGTTTCTTCCCCACCTCAGTGACTTTCATTCATGCTTGTAATCCAATCCTTCCTGCTTATTTACTGATGACTTCAGTGCAGATTGATCAATTTCCTTCAGATCTCTCTGCAGCCTTCACTCCTCTCTCAGTGCAAGGGTTGAATTACTAATCCTGATGTCATGCAGGCACTTAGAATGAGCAATAAAATCACATTTCTCTCAATTCTTTGAAGATAGTATCTTAATTTCTCTCATAGGTCTAACAAACAGCTGTTAGATCTTACCTTTAATTGTTTTACTCTTAATGCTTCATATATAGATATCTTTGTTTCAATGCCACCTCTGATCTTAATTGAAAGGTGTTTCCTCCATTGTTCAAGTAAGTTTGATTTCAACTCGTGCAACTCATAGCTTTTTTAACTCTCTAAAGCTGCAAAGTCAGTTCTGTTCATGACTTAAATATGCCGCATTTATCTGAGGAGACTATTGAGGACCTCTGGACAAACTACAAGAAGCTTATTGCCTGGAACAGATCCACTACGTCCTTCGCCCTCAATCTCATCCAACACTTTGTTGATGTCTGGAATTAGGAAAGCAGGATACATCCTCCAGGCAGAGGAGGCACATTCTATTCCAATGAACATCTCGAAATTTCCATGTATAGGGAGGATGCATGGAATTCTCAGGTGGTTTAGATACTCTTAAGCCTGGTGATGGGTGCCAGCTGACCAAAAAATGAGTTCCCCCAGCACTACTCTTGAAGTGTCAGTTTGGACTATAAGATCAGGGTCCCAACATGGGTATTGGGGTCTTGAACCCACAACCTTCTGACTCAAAGGTGAGAGTGGGACCAATTGAGCCAGACTGACACCAGATGACACACGTCAATGATATTATACCTCAGCTATATGTCTTCTCACCATATTAACCAACCCCTTTCTTTCTAGGAACATATCTAATTGCCTCTGGAATCCAGTTATACTGTTTGCTTCAATTACCTTCCTTGGTAGGATATTCCACCAGTCTATTCCTGTTTTAATGAAAAAGTTCCACCTGATTTACCTTCATATTCTTAATGTCCTAGCTAGCGTCCTTGAAGATGGAAACTTTGAATATATTCAACAATTTGCATGGACCAACCATGTTCAAACCCCATCAATACCTTCCATACCTTTCGATTCACTTCCTTTCCATTAACAACAAGCCTATCTTCTTCAACACTTTCTTCAACCTATGTAAACAAGATTGCTCACTCTATACTTATAAAAAGCAATAATATCCTCTGTGTAGTGATCAATGTGCAAAATAGCCACCGGCTACAGGATATAAAACCAAACAAAAATATGTGCAATGTGTGGCTCCTTCATAAAGGATCAATAAAGGTTTCATAGTGAAATGAGAGTAACATTTACATGGACGTGAAAGATCCAAAGGTACTATATAAAAAGAGAAGGCAGTTTCTCCCAGTGTTCTGGCTAGCAATCGCCTGGATAAAGATTGTCAACCACTTTATGGTCATTTGTGGGACATTGCTGTGTGTAAACTGGCTGCTACCTTCTCCTGCAAAAATACAGTTTACATACTTTGCAGTAAATCATATGAAGCACAATGAGATGTTCTCCTGAAAGGAAAGTCTCTATATTAAATGCAAGGATTATTATATTATTATTACTTATTTGGGGTGGTGTTTTGATTTTTAGGTCTGGCTCTGTGGTGGTTCAGTGGAAATCCTGCCCTGCTCTCGGGTTGGTCACGTGTACCGGGACCACATCCCATATTACCTGTCAGATGAAGAGACGGTGTGGAAAAACAAAATCCGTGTTGCTGAGGTCTGGATGGATTCTTTCAAGGAGATTTTCTACAAGCAAGAAACGCCTGCATATTTGCTCAGTAAGGTCAGGAAGTGATACTTGTGCTGCTCATTAAAAATAGATTTAAACGTTGATAAATATTTTCCAGGCACGTGGGCTATCATCGTTTATAAGCAGTCACCTCCTGTTTTTTGATTTATGTTCTGTTAAAAGGACACCGCCAGCAGCGAGTTTTGTTGATGTTTATCATGTGGACATGTTTTCTGGGAGTTGACCTTTTTTTTCTATTTTTGCCTTATAAAGTGAGACTGACGATGCTCCTTTCTACCAAAGCTGGAGAGAACTGGAGGGAACAGCTGTATAACTGCAATGTTGATAAGGCTTAAATGCTGTCGAACTTTAATATGTTTAGGGCAATGGTGCTTCATGTAGACTTCAAATGTAGGGCTAGGTAGTTTAGCTCAGTATAATTGCTAATCTCACAGTGATCTTCCAGCATTTACATAATAATAATAATCCTTATATTTGATATAGGCCTTATAACATCATTGAGACATCTCAAAACATTTCATAGGATTATACTATGAAGTGCAGTGACAATATTTGTAGTACAAACATGTAGACTATCAGTTAAATTTTTCCAGTGCTTAATTTTTCAATACTAGAGCAACATTGGCATTTGTCATATCATCGGATTATGGATGTATTTTTGCTCCATCTTTTTTATTAATACTTTAGTTTTAATATTAAATTAAGTTTTATGTATTTGTAGGTCTAGGTAGGTTTTACGTAACAACATCTGCCAGGTTGCTATGTCTTGAGGAGTAAGCTACATTATTTCATTGTGACAGGTAACTACAGAACCACAGCACCGTTTACCAGTTTGTAAATGCTAAAACGGATTCAAGCTCTTTTGAATGAATTGCTATCATTTTGCAATATCTATAAATAAGTTGCTGCCCTGATATTGTGCATAACCATCTGATGTAAACATACAAAGTAGATACCTCCCAGTGAGATTTTATGCTCTTCAATTGATTGAGATGTGGTCTGTCATTTTCTGCATCTTGACTTCTATCTTTGCCTGATAATTGTAAGAGTTGGAATCTTTACTTCTTTCCTTCCATATGACCCAATTAGGTTTTAAGGGAGGTATTCACATTCTTTGCAAAGATGTAAGCACAAAGCTTAATTTCAAGCAAATATAAATAATAACAACATTTGATATAGCACCTATATGGGAGCATTCATGTCCCAAAATGTTCCATCTAGTTAGTCCTTAGCTGAGTAACATTAAATCTTGTTCCGTCTGCAAAGGGTTGCTGTCATGGTAAGGGATCACCTTTAAAGCATTATAAATTGAATTTTAAAAATGCATTAATCTTACAAATTAAGCAGAAATCCTGACATATTACTGTCAGTTTTCACAAGGCACAAAGCCCTCAAGATATGAGAACCTTCAGATCTCACCAGTCAGTCATCAGCTGTTGTACTTGTGATATTCAGGCAAGAGTAATCTGAAAGTTCGCATATCCCGAGGGCTTCGGAGACAATAGAAATCACCTTGTGCAAATTGACAGTATTATGTCTGAATGCAGTGCAGTTAGGGCATGGCTAAATAAACACTGTGGCTATGATTCTTACAGGGTAGCTAATGTCTGCCAAGGGGATGGATTGATCTCAGTGTTGCAGCTGTACATTACTGTATGTTTCTAGTTGAGAAAAGTATTCACATTTCAGACTTCCTATACTGCATATCACACGTACTTTGGCTTGAAATGGCCATTTCAATGGCAATTACATTTATTGGATGACCTTTTGATAATCAGATGCGTACACTTAGGGCAAGGAAATTTCATTTTAATATAAAATTATAAAATTTACACTCAAGTAAGCCATATTGAGATAGTTCCTCCACTGGTGCTACACACAGTACATTTTAATTCTATTTGTGATATTTCCCCAAACCTTTTTATATTCTTCTTACAATAGTTATCCACTTCCCTTTCAATTGCTACTATGGTCTCAGCCTCAATAATCCTTAATAATAGTCATCCATGGGAAAGAATCCACTAGGAAATAGCACCTTTTACTTTGGGAGGACATCTCAAAGCGGTTCAAAGAATTTATAGTAAAGTGTAGTGACTGGAATTTTATCGCCAGCGAAACATAGCAGCTAATTTGTGCACAGTAACGTACAGTCATGAAGAGAATCACCAATTTTATTCTGGGATTGTTAGCCAGGACACCGGGAGAAAGTCTCTTCTCTTTTTGAATAGTGCCATAATAATAATAATGATACTAATAAACCTTGCATAGCGCCATATTATACATCTCAAACCGCTTTACAGGATATATTGTAAAGTGAATTGACTTTGTATGTTGTGGGTGAAATGCAGCAGCCAGATTGCACACAGCAATGTCCCACAAGCAACCATGGAGTGAGTGACCATTTTTTTGTTTAGATGAATGTTGGCCAGGACACCAGGAGGGAGAAACTTCCTTCTCTTTTTGAATAGTGCCATGGCATCTTTAAAACTGACTGTGGCAAAACATCCGATGTTCTAATAATCTTTGGTATGTTTATTTTAACCTCCCCCTTATCTCTTCCAGTGGCAATCCTGAACTCTTGCTCCTTGTTACTAAGTTACCAAACAGTCATTTTTTTTGCTATTTATCCGCTCAATTTTTCTTTAGAATGTTAAGATCTCTGTTATCTTTCTTATTTTGGTAGAAACAGACCCATGTTCAAGACCATCTTCATGACTCCAGTATCATCTCAGTGAATCTACCACATGCTCTTTGCATCCTCCCACCTCAACCTTCAAGGTTCTGTCCTTGACTGGTTCAGGTCCTACCTTTCACACTGCCTCCATTTTGTCTCAGCAAACGGCTTCTCATCCAGCTGCCGCACCATCTCGTGCGGTGTTCCTCAGGGCTCTGTCCTCGGTTCCCTCCTCTTCACCCTCTACATGCTCCCCCTTGGTGACATCATCCGCAGACATGGGGTAAATTTCCACATGTATGTGGATGACACCCAACTCTACCTCTCTGCCTCCACCCTCAACTCCAGGGCTACTGGCGTCCAGAACTCCATCCCACAATCTCTTTACCTCGCTTTCTCCCTTGCGTCCTTCAAAGCCAGTCTCAAGACCTTCCTCTTTGATCGCGCCTTCAGCCACCCTCCTGCCTCTCTGCCTTCCCTCACCCCTACCCCACCCCTCCCCCATGCTCAGGTCCTTACCCCTGACTGTCCAGCATCCAGCATCTTGGGACGTCCTCCCGACGTGAAAGGCGCTCTATAAATGTAATTTTGTTGTTGTTGTTGCATGGCTGTGATGTTTATTCTGTAATAGGATGTTCATTTTCAAATTCTCAGGGTGCACAGTAAGAACAACTATGTTTAGAATGAAAGAGTTTTAGTCTGTTCTGGCCAAGCACGTAGAAAATGTCTAACAGGTTATGTTCTTAACCCAATGAATGCTGCAGAACCAGTTGATCTCCACCTGGTGAGAAGTGTTTTGAATTCTTTTGATACAAAATTCAATTTGCGAATGTTTTCCATTCCCTATCACCTCTTTCCCATGTTTCTCATTCTAACAACATATTATGTACTGACTGTGTGGTCTTCTCTAAATTTCACTAGAATTTCAAATCTCTTGAAGCACTAGAAATCAAATTATTCTGCACCTCATTCACTGTGGTAAAAGGGAAGGTGACTTCATGGCAAAGTCATTGCTAGACCTTTTTTTCTGTGAATAGAAGGAGGAGAGAGAAAGGAGCTTGAGGGGCATGAAAACATTATCTTTTATGATGACATGTGATGACAGATCTCATCCCAGTCTGTGTTGTGTTTTGAACACTGTTTTAATATTGTTTGCAAACACTTTTTCATGAAGATGATACCCCTTTGAAAATAAACTGAAAGGGAAAATTGACTTTCTCAACTAGTTTGAGCTGAATATAATCATAGTTGTAAATATGATACAGAAATGCTGAGAATGTTGATTGTTATAGGATCTGGTTCTTCCCGTTTCTACTAGACGAAGGCACCAGATTACATGGAGAGACTGCAGCTGCGGACAACGCTGGGCTGTAAGAATTTTCGTTGGTTTTTAAATAACATCTACCCTGAACTCTATGTGCCTGAGGATAAACCAGGAAGCTCCGGGGAGGCAAGACAACGTTTTTTGGTATTTACCTAACTTTACATTTGTAGTCCATATTACTGAAATAAACAGACTCAGAGGGGACCTCAAAATAACATTTTTAAAGGGAATGAAAAAGTAAACACAGATCAATACTAGGATGCATCAAGATAGTAGAACAAGAGGACATATATTTAGAGTTGTAAAAGGTAGTTTCAAAAATACCAGGAAGATTTTCTTTACCCCGCGACTGGAACAAGTTGCCAGGAAGCATGGTTGAAGCTAGGACACTCATTGAAAAAACAGCTTGATGCTATAATGGGAGGACAGTAGGGTGGGTGTTCTGGAGGGATGAGATCAGATGGGTCAGAAGGACCTTCTTCATCCAAACCGATCTTTTGAAACATAAAATGGTCAATTTCAATTGGAAGAGGATGTCAAAATTAAACAAATTTACATTTATATAGCCTTCCAGATCATATTCACAAGATCACGAGATTGGTCAACCCATTCGGAGGCAGGAGCTACTGTAGCCTGGCGAGTATTGGGGTGACAGACATGACGGGGGCCATATAAGGTCCCCTCTGAGACATTTTCTTTCAAGGTTGAAGAAGCCCTAACTTGTCTAATCTTTATTCAGTTGTTGTAGTGTAGTTTTCTCTAACACATGCTGATAAGTGGCAGTAGGCACAGCTTACTTTTCCAACAGAATCATAAACCAGTGTCCAGATCTCTGAAGTCAGTCAACTAGGAAGGTGGTTGTAACTCAAATGCATGAAGCAGGAAACATGAACGGGGTAAAGTAATGCAGGTTTGCAGCTCACCTGTTAATGACAATTTGAGTTTTTTGTGTAAAGAAAACGGGATATCTTTAACAGTAGAAATCAAACTTATTTTCGGCTTTTAAGAAAGAAATCAAAAGCTTTCAGGAGAAGTGGGAGAGGCAGTTAATGTGACTGCAACATAGAAAATAATAGCAAAATGGCTAAAATAGCTAAATACTTGGGGTATTTCATAAGTAGTAGTATTTTATTCCTTTGGACCTATAAGGTGTATTAGAGAGAGTAAAATGCCTTGAACCATAAACTTGAAACTGTGCCTAGTGAACCTTTCAAGAAATACTCTCCTTTCATTTACAGCTCTACAACATTGGCATGGGCTACTGTGCAGATTATAAAACCAAATGGGACACAGGGGGCTATCCTGTGGCACTCACTCCATGCAATGGCAATGGGAATCAGGTAGCGTTTGAAATAAATTCTATCATGCCTTGTGTCACACCATCTATCTATGCAAAATAGACACTGCTTTCTATTGAGGTTAATAAATATGTTTATACCATCATAAAAATATTGAACCGAATGGTCCTCTTTGTAATAATGACTGTGTATATCACGGATGAATCAGCACTAGTACTTACTAGTTTTTGATCTTTTGATAATCCAGACTAGTCTGTAAAGAGGGGAAATTAAATCTCGTTGAGCTTTGGTTGGATCAGGAATGATAATGGAGGAAGAATTATAGTAATACTAATTCTTGTATTTAACAACAACAGCTTGCACTTGTATAGTGCCGTTCATGTTGGAAAGACATCCACGGGCGCTGGACAGTCGGGGGTTTTTGGAACCAAGCTGATCCTCTCAAGATTGCACCTTGCATGTTGGGAGGTCATCTCAAAGCATTTTACAGGATTTACTGTGTTATGCAGTGACTATGTATTTTATAGACAAATGCAGCAGCCAATTTGCACACAACAGTGTCCAGCAAAATTCAATTAAGTGAATGACCTGTTTTATTGAAGGATTGTTGGCCAGGACATCAGGAGAAACATCCTTTTCTTTTGGAGTGGTGCCATGGGATCTTTAACATCCACCCCAATAGGCAGACAGGGTCTCAGTTTTAACATCTCAGAAAGGGTGACACTTCCAACAATGCAGCACATTCCTAGCATGGCTTTGGAGTGTCAGCCTAGACTATGAGTTCAAAGTCCCGACTTGAGACTTGAATCCATAACCTTCCGACTCAGAGGTGAGAGCGTTGTCGATCGAAGCAAGCTGACACCAGCACTGCTAACTTGCAGTATTCCTAAGCACATTCCATTCCTTAATTATTACTGGGGAAAATGAAGGAATACTTCATCAACAGGACAAAAATTACAACCTGGGATCTCAAAAGTCTTTTGAGAAGCAACTTAACACTTCTTCACAGATATTGTCTTAAAATTCATTTTAAAAGTTGGAATTAAAGGTTAGATCCTGCTCCAGGTATTGGGAATGAAAGTCTTGAGTTCTTTGCAAAGTAAAAGAATAACATAGCAAGAATAAACCATTGTCTAGAAATTGTGTGTGTGTGTGGCGTGGGATTCAGTCCAAAACTGTCATTAAGTACAGATTTTGAGGACCATGTTTTAACCATGTTTTCTGTACTGCTTATTTATGATGCCTGCTTTAATTAAGAAATTGAGTGCCTTTAGGAATGCGACAATTTTGATCCTAGTATTTCCATAAAAATCACAAATTGGCACTCATGACTGCTAACCCAGTAGCTAAATTATACAGTGCCCACTAGGGTAAACCATCCACAATATAAAAGAGTCATAAAAACATACCCTGATAACGTGACTTGAAAGGGATTCCAGGTCAACAACATACAACAGTGTAAAATATGCAACCTTAACATTAGTATTTGCCCGCAGCATGCCTGACAAAAATTGAGGTAGTTGTGTTTATGTGCATACCTTTATGTGCGTGCAAAGGGCAGATTCACTCAGTGATATATGCGTGCGGTGAACATATTTGGAATCCTGATAAAACCTCAAGTGAGAAGAACAACAGCAGCACGAGACATGTGAAGTGAAGTGGACATCATAAGACTGTTGCTGCTTTGAATTGCCCTGAGGTTAAACATGTTCTGACCTTTTATAAAGTACCATTCATGTGAAAAGCATTTTTTTTCTCTCCTGGGGGAAATGTTCGTGCTCATCAAGATGAAGAATGTTAGTGTCTGGGCTAATGATACGACTTCCTACTTTGTGCATCCACAATTTTGTAAAGATTGGTTGCAGGGGGAAAAAAAANGGCATACTAGACTAATCACCTCAGAGATTTGTGTGTCAGCCTGGTTCAGTTGGTAACATTCTAGTCTATGAACCAGTAGGTTTTGAGTTCAAGGCCCATATCGGGACTTTGAACTTATATAGTCTAGGCTGACAATCCAATGCAGTGCTGAGGGTGTCCTGCATTGTTGGAGATGCCATCCTTTGGATGAGATGTTAAACCCGTTCTGTTCTGAAAAGAGAATATCTCAAAACAATTTATAGCAGTTACTGGCTTTGTTGCCAGCAAATAGGCAGCTATTCTGTTCACAGCAAGATAAACAGCCATTAGCAATTTCTTTGAAGGATTGTTGATCAAGAGATTAATGGGAAATACTAGGTAATCTTAAACTTAGAAGATGCGCCTGCTGTATAAAGAACACTTTGAGATTTCCCAAATCAATCCTAGTTTGAAACCTTTACAGCTTTCTGAGAGAGTTGGTTTTAATCCCATCACTCCATGGTGGATTTGAAGAAGGGAAAGCACAGCCAGCCTGACTCATTGGTAGGACTTGGAAGGCCAGACCAATCACTGGGGGCAAGGATTCTTCCCACTCAGCTCCTGTTAACCCTCCAAGTCAAACCCCTAGGGTGGTCCCAGCTGGACAAGCAGCAGGAAAGCTTGCAAGGCAGTGCTATCAATGGCAAGCTTTGCGGTTTTAGCTGGTTAGACTCCAGCAGTATCCCAATGTACACTCTGGGGTTCCCTAGCCTTGGCTCTCGCCAGTCTGCGCCTAATACTCTCTGGAATTAGGTAAACATGATATGTCCCTCTAGGAATAGAGTGCACATTCCTTTCCAATAAATATCTTGGGAATTCCCATGGTATAGGTCGGATGCATGGAACTCAGTTTGGTTTGGATACTCTTATGCATGAAGATGAGTTTCTGAATGTGTCCGATACCCTGTTGACCAAAAGAAAATAACAAGGGACAAAGCTGCAAGGACAGTGTTTGAGCAAGTCTATATACATTTGTTTTGACTAATATCAAATGACTTTCTTAGTTAAGATTAAATCATATAATCAGTTTGGGATTGAAAAAGTGGGAACCCCATAATCTATTTGGAGCGGGAATCTCATTAGTCAGCTGTGATATGCTGTGGTTATAGCAGGAATCTCTATAAGTCACTATGAGCCTAGTAAAAATCCACTTGTGAATGGCCACTTTTTCAATGCTTTATCAAATCACCCTCAAACAAATGAGTCAAGCTCTTTGCTCATTCTGCTTTAAAACCATTGGATGTAAGGTCTGGTTTAAAACTATTACCTGTAATTAATTACAGGAGTATGAGGAAAGGTCTGGTCAATGGGACTGAAAAGGTTGGGCTTGAAACAGCCAGCATAGACATAATGGATTGAATTGCCTTCTGTGCTGTAAATTTCTATGGTTCTTTCATTTTAAGGATGGCTTTTGTATTCATGTGACAATGCTGTTCCTGCTCTGTCTTTATGCAGCACTTTGAATATAACAGTGGAAGAGAAATTTGGTTTGGATCCATTCTACAATTTTGCTTTGATGTTCTAAATGAACAGATCATACTCCAGGAATGTACCATTGAGGGGAGAACAGAACCACAACGACAGTGGGATGTTAGGAAGGTTTGTCATATTTATCGTCTGTTTTTAAAAAAAATTAGTGTCCAGTTAACTTTCTTTTCCCATGCCTCTTTGCTTTTGCTCTTAATACGTTTCACAGGATTTACTGTAGTGCAGTGACTGCAATGTGCAGGTGAATGCAGCAGCCAGTTTTCTACACAGCAATGTCCCACAAACAACTATGAAGTGAGTGACCAATCTTATTTGCAGGATTGTTGGCCAGGACACCAGGGGAAACTCTCTTCTCTTTTCAAATAGTGCCATGGGATCTTTAACATCCACCTAAATAGGCAGGTGGGACCTCAGTTTCATGTCTCATTCAAAAAGTAAAATACATAATCTGTAAATTTTAGTACTTTGGGTTTTATTGTTGTACATCAGTTCCCAAATTATGTCTGAATTAGTATTTTCTTGAATATTATTTTGCATAGTGTTACACCAGCATGACTCAGAAACCATTAAAGGAATTGTTGGGCTGCAGTTCACCCAAGGTTAAGTTTTCCAGCGTACTTTTGTTGCATCTCTGGATGTGACTCAGGAAAAGTCTGATTTTATTTCACAACTTTTCAGCACAAATATGAAGAAATCTGCACAAGCCCACACACATACTCCTGCCACAAACAGCCAACATCTTTGCGAATCATAACGCTACATTCAGATGGTTCCAATCAGTCAGTAGTTCTCCATTTCAATAGTCTGTGCTTGCTTCAAAGATATCTACAACAACAACAACAAGATTCCATTTATAAAGCGCCTTTCACGTCAGGAGGACGTCCCAAGGCGCTGCACAGTTGGTTCATGACCCGAGCAGGGGGGAAATGGTCAGGGTGAGGGGAGGGAAGGGAGGGAGCGAGGAGGGGGGAAATGGTCAGGGTGAGGGGAGGGAAGGGAGGGAGCGAGGAGGGGGAAGAGAGTCGAGAGGGGAGCTGAAGGCACGGTCTACACCGTTGCCAGTTGCAAGCAGCTCCATTGGATGTAGATAATCATGATAATTTGATACTCTGCCATTTCCAATTCAAACTCCTCTTACTTTAAAGGACTCATCCTTGTATATGGCAAGAGATTCCAAAGTTGTACAGCCCCTGCAATGTTCGATTAGTTCTGCTGCTCTATTCTGTTCACTGTGGCCAATGGCCACGATGGACAATGGCCAGTTGCTGGAAACAGCTAGAACATTGTAATCCATTTTGTGTCAGAAATGTGAAGAGGTTCCCACTACAGAAGATGCCCTGTGACTAATCTACATCCAAAATGTTCCATTCTTCAATAACATTTGTGACAAAGTGTGTAGGGAAATGAAGAGCCTGTGAAAATCATTTGACTTCTCTTTGAGCTGAAAATTAAAACTGTTTTACAAATACCACAAGGAGAAGATTTACCACATTTGAAAGATAAAGTCCTCAGAAATGTAAAAATAAGTTTGTGTTTTTGAGACATCTCGAAGATGTGATAAGGCACTATATCAAATGCAAGGATTATTATTATTATTCATTATCATGTTTTTATTTTTTGAAAAATTGAACTTTTTCAGTACTAAACATGAACTGTAGACACACGTCCATCCCATTTTATAGCAAACAGGAATTGCAAGTCAGAAAAAACATTGTGATTTCACAAAATGATCCAGGGTTATGACAGACAGAATTGGAAAATAGTGGTTGGACTTAGATATAGCCCATGATTTCCCAATTTCTGATGTCAAAGTACAGAAAGTCATGTGCTGGAACTGTGGGATGGAGTTCCAAAGGGTGGAGGAGAAAAGCTGAAGGCCCAACCATCATAGAATCACGACATGTGGGGCAAACCAGAGTCTGCTGAGTGGAGGAAACGGACAGGCCGGTTAGGGGTTATCGGGTCACAGAGGTAAGGAAGAACAAGGTCCATAATCTGCAGTTTGTGGCAAGAAGATTTGGGAAGACCGACAGGCAGGGAATTAGCATAATCGAGCCTGGATGTGATGAAGGCACGAATGAGGTCTCAGCAAGCTGAGGGGAGAGGCAGTGGCAGAGCTGGGTGATGTGCTTTCAGATGACCTCCCAATGTGAAATGCGCTATATGAATGTAGATTGTATTGTACTGTAATACAAAAGCTTTGATTAAATATAGAAATGTCAACAACAACAAATTGCGTTTATATACACTCACTGCACATTATAGTAATGACTGAAGCATTTGAGATGTCCTCCCAATGTGAAAGGCGTTATATCAAATAGAAGAATTATTATTATTACTAATAAGGAAAAAGAGGGATTGAGGGATTTGTGGGCATGTGAGATTGAGAATCAAAAAGGGATTGGTTTTTTGACTTTCCTCTGTTCCTTACATGCTGTATAAGAAGGCTTTGTGAAAGTGGAGTACCTGTAGGGAAATAAAGCTACCATTTAAAAGAAAAAATATGGTATTGGTTTTGTATCAGATTCTTGACCCTCAGTAATGCCTGCGCCTTGCATTGTGAAAATCTAAACATATCCTTCTTTTCCAGAATGGAGAAATTATCCACATGCTTTCTGGCAAGTGCATTGAGGCAATTGGGAATGGAACGAGCAAAGACTTGTTTCTCCGGCCATGCAACAAGCAGAGCAACCAGTTATGGCGATTTGAGCAACTGATAGTCATGAACGAGAGATGACCTGCCGTTGTGAGCAGACTGTGGCTCAGTGCCATGCTCTCCCGCTTAGCCAGTAGGAGTGCAGCATGTCAAGAATCTGCAGAACCTGAATTTGCCGACAATAAAGAATGCTGTGTACTTCTATTGCCTGAAGTAATTCATAATAGCACAGTCTTCTAAGGATGCCTTTGAATGGTACTGGTGAAGCCAAACACTGGTGTCTGCATTGTGTGGCATGACCGATTGCTCTGAACATTAGCTGTATCAAGGACTGAGGAGGGAGCAACCAAACTGGTTCTGATTTGTTTTGTTGGACAACCACTGAATATCTTAACTATCTGAACAAAACCTAAAGTTCTACATGAATCAAATTATTCTGCTTTTGCCTTAGTTGTGCCAAATACTACAAAAAATATTTTTTTTAAAAAATAGGTCACTAAATAAAAATGAAAGCTATTCGATGCAGTGGTGTTCATTATTACTCATTTAGTCATTTAGTCATAGTCATTTAGTATAAGTAGTTGAGGTTGTCAGACTCTTTAGAGCACTTGCTTTGTAAGCGAGAGACTTGGGTTCAATTCCAGGCAGGGCGAAGCCTTGGGCAAGTTTCCTTATTCCACACGCCTAATAATAATCCCTCCAAAACCAAAAACAATAATAAATTGGTCATTTTCAATCTACGACTGTTTGTGGGACACGTGGCTGCCGCGTTCGCCCACAAATATACAGTCAATTCACTTTGCAGTGTGTTCTGTGAAGCGCTTTGGGACGTCCTCCCGACGTGAAAAGCGCTATATCAAATGCAAGGATTATTATTATTATTTAAAAAAACAACTTGAGGATGGTAAGGTCGATATTATCTAAAGATGAGATCAAGTGTTCTGAAGGGCTTCCTTCATCCAAACCTCTCTTGTGATCTTGTGTAGCAAGAGTGTAGAATCTCCAATGCTCTCCTTGTTAGCCTCCATCTCTTCACTTCCAATAAGCTCTAATCCTCTAAAACTCTTCAATCCATATTCTCTTTCAAAAAGGGTTGCTCACCCCTATTATTCCTACCCTAACCAGGCTTCAATGTCTCCCAGTGCTCCAAAGGATTAACTTTAAGATTCTTGGCTTGACCTTCAAACTCTTCCAAGGTCTCCCTGTCTTTGAAATGTGTTCTAGGACTATTCTACTGTCCTTGCCCTTTGCTCTTCTAATTCTGGTTTGTTGCTTGATCCTCGCTCTGACTGCCCATTGATGGTGGAGACAACATTAAACCCCTGACCACTGAAACTCTTTCAGAATCTCTTTATCTCACTTCCTCTCTGCTTCCCAAAAAACTTCCTCTTACTTCATTGATTGTGTTTTCAGTCAGTATTGTTAATTCTGCTATCTAATTTCTCTGCTAATCCCATTCACACTAATGAACTATGGTTATTATTAAACCCCACTATGGGTGCAGTAAAATTCTAGGAGTGCAACAACAACAAAATTACATTTATATAGTGCCTTTCACGTCTTCAAAGCCCTCCATGATCTTGTTTCCCCTTACCTCTCCAACCTCCTAACCCCCTACCGTCAATTGGATTGTGCATTGAATATATTGTTCCACAATGGAACACTTTTAGATCCAAAATTTGAGTGTTGAGTGTTGAATTGCCCAATACAAGACATTTAAGTGGAATTTGTGCAAGTGTGCCTTGTTTTATACAAAGTAGCTTGTATACAGAGCCACTGCACTGTCAATACAGTGTAATACAGCTCGATACCCAAAATGATTTACTTTCCTGGCGTCTCATAGCATAAGACCAAATTCTGTTCTATTCCTCCCTGGTTGGTTTATCAACCAGTTTGAAAATTCAGGTTGTATTGTAGTGAGAATCAGTTTGCAACCTTTCCTCTAATAGATATATTTAATGTAACAACAATGTACACTTTTCACTGTATCAATGTGGTGTGTTTGATATGCCGTTAAGCAAAGTTTTTTTATAAAGCAGGCTTCAAATTTTGATAACTGCTCAATCCATTGAGGTTGTTTGGTATCCACCATTTTTGCTTGCTTTTATGGTTTTAGAAATGTTTATATTGGCAAAGTGCGGACTGCAGGGAAATAGTGCGGTGAAGGGAAAGAAGTGGCCCATTTCCTGCTTCACTTGGAACATTTTTTTTCCATTCAAACGATCTAGTCCCACAGATATTTTAACTAACATTTCCTTTGCTGATGAGTCAGTGAATACTACTCTTGGATATACATCAGACAATTCACTTGAAAAATCAAATTGACAGAAAGGAAAATAATTTGCTACTGAGGTCAACAGACATGAAGCTTTGCTAATTTTCCTAATACTTAAATTAGTGAGAATTAATCTTTAGTGTTAAGAGATACAGCAAATTCTATGTTTATGCCATTGTTAGCTTTACCACCAAGTGTACTATACTGCAAAGCACTTTAACCTAAACCCAGTACAATTTACAACAAAATACCGAATTGAACCTTCCAGCTGAATACTATATATTAATAACAACAGCCTACGTTTTTACAGTGCCACAAAATACTGCAGATGCTGGAAATCTGAAACAAAAACAGAAGTCGCTGGGAACGCGCAGCAGGTCAGGCAGCATCTATGGAGAAAAGAAAGTGAGTTAACATTTTGAGTCCACGACCCTTCATCAGAACTGGGGCATATTGGGAGGGAGGACTAACAGAGAGGGGGAAGGCAGGGCAAGGAAAACAAAGGTGAAAATGGGGTAGAAGACAGGGGATGATGGGTTAAATAGGTGTTAATGATGTAAACAAAGCGGGGGATTGCAACAAAACAGGGGAATCGAGGTGTTAATAGTGCAAAACAAAGTGGGAGAACATTGCAACAAAACAGGCAGACCAGAGAGAAAATGTGTGTCTGGGCCCCAGATGATATGGTAATGGTCACAAGAGGGGAAGGCGGAATTACCAGATCATCTGAGTTATTGAAATCAATGTTGAGGCCAGAGGGCTGTAAGGTCTCTAGCAGATAGATGAGGTGCTGTTCCTCAAGCTTGTACTGTGGTACATTGGAACAGAGTAGGAGACCATGGATAGAGAGGTCAAAGTGGCAAGAAACCGGAAGCTCAGGGTTGTGGACAGAATGGAGGTATTTGGCAAATTGGTCACGCAATCTGTGTTTGATCTCCCCAAAGTAGAGCAGAGCACATCGGGAGCAGCGAATGCAATATGCTAAATCTGATCTTGAATGAGGCAAGGGAAGGGTCAAAGCAAAGTGACTGCAGGATGGAGTTCCAGAGGTTGGGGACAGAAAGGCTATCTGTGAATCCTTATGGGCAATTACACTTACATCTTTCACCTTTGAGGTTTTATTGGCTTGGCATTCCAACTTTTGGAAATAGTTCCAATGCTCCTGGAGGGAGATAGCTCTAACTAACGCTTCATCTTAACAACATTAATGCTGTCTGCAATTGGTCACCGCGTTTTGCCCATAAAGTACACAGTCACTGCACTTTACAGTATACTGTGAAATATTTGAGACGTCGCAACGACATGATAATGAGCTATATCAAATACAAGGTTTTTTTNCAAACAATACAACTCAGAACAGCACAAACGATTCCTTCCAGTATAGCACGCAATTATTTTACATGACTTCAGAAGTAAAACTGGTATTTACATTTCATTGTTAATTATATTAGAAAATGTCAACACACATGACCATTATAGAGGTAATTATTGCCCCTATGACTATATTCTGTTTCATGGAGCAGCCCCGATGGTGTAGAGGATTAACCTATACACGTTACGGACTGGGAGCTCAGTTTCAAATACTGTTCCATGCTGGGTTTGTTACTTTCAACCAGCCTGGCTTTTCCAGGTTTAAGTAGGTGAAAAACAGCTCCTGATCCCATCTACAAGCACTGGGAATGAACGTGTTTGGCAGTCAGTTGAGGAAATTTCAGGCTCATCTGTTATGCCCTCTACAGTAAGTCGTCTGCCGACACTCAATACCAAGGTTTATACATGAACAATTGTCACTTGGGCGGAGTTCAAGATGACACCCAGTGTCTGGGGGACCATATCCCAGTATAAGGATTTTAGAGATCAGGTGCAAAAGTATTTTTCAATGTGGAGAACAATTAGGAAAAAAATTGGACACAGTAAATCTTTTATAAATATATTGTTTCACAATTGTTTCCCTTTATCTAATTATAAATATATTAATAGTATGGTATCAAGTTTATTTCTCCCATTACTAATGTATTGCAACAAATAACAACAAAATTACATTTGTAAAGCGACTTTCACGTCGGGAGGACATCCCAAGCCGCTGAAAAGAGAGAAATCTATCAGTGTACATTACTGTATATTAAGTGCATTTTCGCCTAATGAGTGTTAATCTAGCTCAATTGGTAGCACTCTCATCTTTTGAGTCAGACAGTTGGGAATCCAAGCCCCAGGTCGGGACTTTGAACTCACATTGTCTAGGCTGACACTCCAGTTGAGTCCTGTAGGAAAGTTACATTGTGAGAAGTACCATCCTTTGGATCAAATATTAAACTGAGGTTTTGTCTATCTCTTCAGGTGGACATTAAAGATCCCATGGCATTATTTGAAAAGTGAAGGGAGTTTTTCCTGGTCTTCTGGCCAACACATCCCCCAGACAGAATCGGTCATTCATTTCATAGCTGTCTGTGGAATATTGCTGCGTGCAAATTGACTACCGTGATCACCTACAAAATGCTTAATTACAGAAAAATCATGTGAAGTACTTAGAGACATTTTTCCAATGTGAATGGTTCTATATTAAATGCAACGATTATTTTTATTATATATTGCTCACTCTATCTGGTCAGTTTTCTCCATCAAAATATATCTATTGGAGAGATGGAAAGAATTGAAATCTAGCTCATATTTAACATTGGCGGTCAAATAGTGGGCACTGATTTACCACTGATCAAAGTATATCACTGATACATTTCTCTCCGCTATTTTTCTTGATGCTGTATCTTCACAAATTGGCATTTATTTTCTGTTAAACAAAATTGTCTGGCACTGCTGGGGTGTTATTCTTTGGATGAGATGTTAACCCAAGATCTTATTTGCCCATTCAGGTGGATGTTAAAGATATCCTCATTCCAGTCGAAAAAGAGAAGAGTTTCTTCTGGTGTCCAGATCAACAATTCCCCAAATAAAATTGGTCATTTCAGTTCATTGCTGCATGTGGTACATTGTGGAGTCCTGTAGCTCAGTGGTTGGAGCACTCGTCTTGCAAGCGAGACACCTGGGTTCAATTCCAGGCCGAGCGAAACCTTGGGCAAGTTTCCTTACTCCACACACCTAATAATAATCCCAATTGTAAATTGGTCATTTTCACTCCACGACTGTTTGTGGGACACTGCTGTCCCCAATTGGCTGCCACGTTTCGCCCATAAATATGCAGTCAATTCACTTTACAGCATACTTTGTGAAACGCTTTGAGACATCAAGAAGACGTGAAAAGCGCTATATCAAATACAAGGATTATTATTATTATTGCTGCGTGCAAATTGGCTGCCACATCTGCCTACAAAATATATAGTCGCTACACTTCATAGTGTACCCTGTGAAGCACTGTAAGATGCCCTCCTGATATGAAAGGCATATCAAATTAATGGTTATTATTATTATTACTTAGAACAGCGGGATGAAAATTGCGATGTTTCTTACCACATATGAAGTGATCTGTTTCACCGCAGTGTTACATAAAGTAAAATAATAATTAGTTTATGAGCTGGAAAAAGGTGACAAGTAATAAATCACACAATGATGGATATTCCATCCAATATGTATGCAGAGTACATATACTATAACGTATGATGCATTACATGTTTTGATATAGCAGAATAACATATAGTTTTCACCCAAGAGGCTGAATGTCTAGACACAGGACTATTGTGCCACAAATTATTTATTCCTGGTTTATATCACTAGCTCTGCATGCTCAGTAACAATAGAAATAAACAAGCTCTTTGTACATAGGGCACATTTCTTGAAATTACATATGGATCTTATTTCATAACAGCCTCAAAAAGTACTTTAAATCATGGGAAAGCTAAATTAGCTCTAACCTTCCCAGGGATAACTAACCAGTGTTCATTCTCCCGGTTCCTCTACAGCACTGGTCACGGGTATGTTTGGCAGACGGGTGGTGACAGGTCATGCTTGGCTGTGACATCCTCTACAACCAGATGTCCTACAGACACTCACCAACAAAGCTCACACATGAACAATGGCTACTTTGGTAGGACACCAGAGGGCAGCCAGCGCCAGTGGAACCACACACCAACACGTGGCAGATGTCAGTGGGGGGGAGGGAATTAGAGAAAGGTATATATAGTTTTAGGAATCTATATGGTGACTGGAAATATTTACACTAAAGGCACGTGATGTCTGCTGAAACGTGAACCAAATAATAATAATAATCCTTGCATTTGATATAGCGCTTTTCACGTCTTCTAGACGTCCCAAAGCGCTTCACAGAATATACTGTAAAGTGAATTGACTATATTTGTGGGCGAACGCGGCAGCCAATTGCGCACAGCAGTGTCCCACAAACGGTCGTAGATTGAAAATGACCAATTTATTATTGTTTTGTTTTTTTGGAGGGATTATTATTAGGTGTGTGGAGTAAGGAAACTTGCCCAAGGTTTCGCCCTCTGCCTGGAATTGAACTCCGGTCTCTCGCTTGCAAAGCGAGTGCTCTAACCACTGAGCTGCAGGACTCCACAATGTGACAAAATGTTTAAATTATCTGTATTTGTTTTAGCCTAGGTATAATAGCTTTATATCGGAGTCCTGTAGCTCAGTGGTTAGAGCACTCGCTTTGCAAGTGAGAGACCTGAGTTCAATTCCAGGCAGAGGGCGAAACCTTGGGCAAGTTTCCTTACTCCACACAGAGCCTAATAATAATCCCTCCAAAAACCAAAAACAATAATAAAATTGGTCATTTTCAATCTACGACTGTTTGTGGGACATTGCTGTGCGCAATTGGCTGCCCCGTTCACCCACAAATATACAGTCAATTCACTTTACAGTGTGTTCTGTGAAGCACTTTGGGACGTCCTCCCGATGTGAAAAGCGCTATATCAAATGCAAGGATTATTATTATTATTATTTTATACCAAGATGCACATTGGATAAAATACATTTCAGCTATTTTACTGGAATCAATAATCCAAGAAACAAGATTCATCACATTAATAGGTAGTATAGATGGCCTCACTGGAAGGGCAAATACTTAACACTAAAACAATGGATCAAATGGCCTTCTGCTTCTTCATGGATTTCTATACTTCTGTGATATACAGTGACATCTAGTGGCCATGGAGAATTTTGCTAAGTGCTAAAATAATAATAATCTTTTCATTTGATAGAGCTCCTTGTTGTTGAAAAGTCTCAAAAGACTGCAAAGGATTTATCGTAAGGTGGAATTACTGTGCATTTTTCGGTGAATGCAGCAGCCAATTTGCATATAGCAATTTTCTGCAAACGGCCATGAATTGAATGACGAATTTTAAGTGGATAGTTGATTGTTGGCCTTGACACAGGGAGAACAACCTTTTCCCTTCCCTTCTCTTTTTGAATTGTACAATGGGATCTTTAACATCCACAAATGTGACCTTGATTTAACATCTCATCCGAAGGACAGCACCTCTGACAATGCAGTACTTCCCCAGCACCAAATAAACCTAGATAGTAAATGGTATTTTTTTATTCATAAATTAGTTCAACTCAGAACTAACATTCTGTATTCCTTTGAAATCATTCAGTACTTACAGTTTGGGTAACACAAGTATTTTTGCAGTCATTTGAAATCAACATACTAAACTCTGATACTTTAAATTTATGGTGCAGCATTTACAATAGAAACCTAGAAAACACTTATAATAAAATTTATAAATCACATTTGTATTTATAGGCTCTGCATTTTGTGGGGAAAACGCAGCAGCCAATTCCACACAGCAATGTTCCAGTCATAGATTGAGGGACCAAATTATTGTTTTACTTTTGGAAGGGAATATTACCCCAGGAAAGCGATCCGCCAATCAACTAACAACCGAGTTCCTACTTACTGCTAAGTAAACAGAGGCATGTGGATTAAGAAAATTTGCCTAAGGTTTCGCCCACATTGTACCTGGGTTCCCTCGCTTGTGAGGCGAATGCTCTAACCATTACGTTACAGGTTATTCATAACAGGATAATTCCCTGGTCGAGTGGGCAAAACAGCTTGATTCAATAGCTTTCTATGCCAAGGGATTTTCAGCATAAAGAAGATGGTTCAAAAGATTAAAATAGATTACGGTATTTTAAAAGAAAACCAGATGCCAGTGTAACGACTAAGTATAATGATAACCACATAGCGTAGCATTTCTCCAACTAAGACCATCCTGCCCCTTGGGGCTTCGGCTTGGAAGATTGAGGATGTGTCTACACCTCCCAAGTCTGCCGTTAATCTCTCTGCCTGGCCAGGTGCATCGCTTCACGATCAGATAAACCCAGAGCAATCTCGCTTCGTTCCCTCTGCCTCACAGCATTGCCTGCTCCAGCGCTATCTCTTCCAACGCCCCCGTTCACCGTGGACACAGATGGGCATTTGGGGAAGACTAGCGTGCAGGGCGATGGAGCGCGCGGGGGGGTGGGATTGATTTGGGCAGCTCTTTTCGAAGAGCCGGCACGGACACGATGGTCCGAATGGCCTCCTTCTGCGCTGTATAATTCTACGATCACACCTGGAGTTGCCTATCCCAACCTGCCCCAACTCCTCTCCCATCGTGGAGTCCTGTAGCTCAGTGGTTAGAGCACTCGCTTTGCAAGTGAGAGACCTGAGTTCAATTCCAGTCAGGGCGAAACCTTGGGCAAGTTTCCTTACTCCACACAGAGCCTAATAATAATCCCTCCAAAACCCAAAAAACAATAATAAATTGGTCATTTTCAATCTACGACTGTTTGTGGGACATTGCTGTGCGCAATTGGCTGCCGCGTTCGCCCACAAATATACAGTCAATTCACTTTACAGTGTGTTCTGTGAAGCGCTTTGGGACGTCCTCCCGACGTGAAAAGCGCTATATCAAATGCAAGGATTATTATTATTATTATTATTATTATTATTATTATTATCACACCCCCAGCCATCGCTGCAGAGAGGAGGAGGAGAATGAGACACCAGCTTCCGGCTGTCAACGCGGCAGCTCCGCCCACTCCGCCGTAGTGACCACCGTCCCCCCCCCAGATCACATGACAATGGCGGCGCCTCAGGTGGCTTCCGATTGGGTGCCAGTCACTGAGTTCCCCCGGTCAACCTCGCACCCTTTCCCGGTTGACCCGATCATGTGACGATGACGCCGGCGTCCTGTTAGCCGCGGGCCGGCGTCTGAGAGGGGCCGTGACGTTGCGGGCGGCGCGTGGTGGGACGGTTGGTATTTGAATCGTTGGGAGGCTCGAGAGCGCAGAGATACGACAGGAGAGAGACAGAGAGAGATAGAAGAGGAGGACGCGGCTCACACTCAAGTCACTCACCCTCTCAGCGAGCGGTCGGCCATGGTGGTGGCCGCTGCTCTTCATCCGCTCTGGAGGAGCGCTGTGACGGTGGGGAGCTCCTGGCTGCTGCTGCTGCGGTCCCATGTGGTGTGTCAGTCCGGGGTCGCCAGGTGAGCTGTGGCGGGCGGTGTGGGTAAGGGTGAGGGTGTGGGTGTGGGGAGAGAGCTCGGGGTCTGTCACTGCAGCAATCGAAAAGTTTCTTTAAAAAAGTTTAAAAGTGCACTTTGGTCTCTTGATGGTTTACATTTCCTCCTCCTCCTCCTGCTGCTGGTATAATAATAATAATAATAATAATAATAATAGTAATGATCCCTTCAGAATAAATCGGTCACTTCAATCCACGACTGTTTGTGGGACATTGCTGCGCACCGTTGGCTGCTGTGTTTCACCCACAAATATACAGTCAATTCACTTTACAGTGTGTTCCGTGAAGCGCTTTGGGACGTCCGCCCGATGTGAAAAGCGCTATATCAAATGCAAGGATTATTATTATTATTATCTTGACCGTGTGATGAGGCGCTGTATCAAGTGCAAGCAGTATTACTACTACTAAATACACCCAAATTCAAATCAGATGTCAGCCTGGCTCAGTGATCGCAGTCTCCTCTGAGTCAGGTTGTGTTTTTTTGGTCCGCCGGGTGTCTGACATGTGGAAACCCATCACCAGGCTTAAGTATATCCAAACTAACCTGAGATTTCCATGCATCCCAAATACCCATGGAAATCCCAGAGATAGATTGTTGGAATGGGATGCACACTCTCTCCCTGGAGGGACGCTTCCTGATTACCTAATTCCAGAAAATATTAGGCGCACGTTGGCGAGAGCCAAGGCTTGGGGACCCCAGAGTGTGGGTTGGGGTACGACTGGAGTCTAAGCAGCTGAAATTGCATAGCTTGCCATTGGTATTGCTGTCCGGCAAGTTTTCCCACTGCTTGTCCTGCGAGGACCACCCTACCCGTTGGAGCTTTGGCTTGCAGGGCTAACAGGATTACGCCTCATGTCCGGACTTTGAGCTCACATTCTGGTGCAATGCTGGGGGTACGCTGTATTGTCAGAGGTGCCATCCTTCACTTAAGATGTTGAAGTGGACAATAATGATCCAATTGGCACAGTTTGAAAAGACAGGAGTTTCTCCCATCTCTGTGTCTTGGCCAACAATTCCCCAATATTGATCATTCACTTAATGATTGTTTGTGGGACATTGCTGCATGCAAGTTGACTGCTGCGATCACCTCCCAAATAATAATAATAATAATCCTTGCATTTGATATAATGCTTTTCACGTCGGGAGGACGTCCCAAAGCGCTTCACAGAACACACTGTAAAGTGAATTGACTGTATATTTGTGGGCGAACGCAGCAGCCAATTGCGCACAGCAATGTCCCACAAACAGTCGTAGATTGAAAATGACCAATTTATTATTGTTTTTGGTTTTGGAGGGATTATTATTAGGCTCTGTGTGGAGTAAGGAAACTTGCCCAAGGTTTCGCCCTGTCTGGAATTGAACTCAGGTCTCTCGCTTGCAAAGCGAGTGCTCTAACCACTGAGCTACAGGACTCCAAATATGCTGTCATTGCACTTTACAATAAATCTTGTGAAGTGCTCTGAGATTATTATTATGCCTCAACAATGTTAATAGGCACTATGTCAAGTGCAAGTTTTATTATTAGGTTTATTTCATCAACCAGGTGTCTAATGCGTGCAGAAACCCATTACGAGCTTCATAACCACATATGCATACCATCTCCACATAGATATTTCCCTGTGTCAAGAATCGAACGTGCACTCACTCCCTGGAGGGATGCACAATACTTACTAATTCTGAAGACCATTAGTTTTAGGCTGGAAAAGCTGGAGTTTAATTGGTAAAACTGCATGATTTGGCATTGAAAGTATTGTCTGGTAAGCTTCCCCCTGCTTGTCCAGGTAGGCCCACCCTACCCATTTGGGATTTGGGTTGCAATGTTGACAGGATCTGAGTAGAAAGAATCCCTGCCCAGTGACTGGTCTACCCCTCCAAATCCTACTGATGAGCCAGGCTGGTTGGTGTGTCATCAGTAGTGCCTGAAGTGTTGCGATACCATCTGGGTCAGGAATCAGGCTACTTAGACTACCAAAAAGCATTGACTTGATTCTGACATTTCATTGCTCATTTTGTTTGCTGTCTAATGAGCTGCTGATGCCCACTTGGTGAGGAAAGATGGACCAGGCCATCAACTTATCTGTTGTTTTGGAAACTATTTAGGCACATTCTCTATATTTTTAAGAAAGATCATTCATTTTCAACATTCATATTTTGGAAATCTGTTGAATTTCAGATTTGTTTCTTCTATCATTTCATTCAGATAAACATTTTGAAATTAATTATGCTATCTTTTTCTATTTTGTATGAATTTGTTTGAAAGAAGCTTAGTTTTTCCTGAAATTGACCCCCTTAATATTCTTAATCAATCATTGTTTTGTAAAATTATTAACATGTTTGGTAGAAAATTCAGAGATTGAGTTTATTAGGATCTTAAGAGCTAATTACAGGTAGAAAATTTCATGGGTAAATTCCACAATAGACTAAAGTGTACCTAGTTTATGGAAAGTGGAACATTATCATGTTTAGTGTTGCTAGTTTTCTTCTTCTTTAGTTTTACTGTTATATTATAATCTTGGTAGTTTGTGACATTTTGCATTATTTGGGCTTCAACTTAAGACATAAAGAGGGAAGAAGTTTGAAGAAACATTTTTTATGTTGTGTTTTTACACAAAGAGTTGTTATAAGGGAAAAAAATCCTGTTGAAGCTGAGTTCCTAACAAAATTGAAAAAACAATTGACTGCTAAACTGACTAAATATTTTCTGGCAGATGATGTTTTTGATTAGTTTTACGCACTATTAATACTGTATTTGTGTGATTGTTTGATATCTGCAATGTTCATGCCTATATTGTAAATATTTGCCTTTCTGTTGTAGATCCTCCTGGAAGAATTAGTACCAGTACAATGGGCCTCGGCCTCCTATATTGCTATAAACATTTTACGATTTAATGTTTTTTATATAGAAATTCACTTATGTTGACTGTGCTGCACCAGCAACACACTAGAGTGTCAGCCTAAACAATGAACTCAAGTCTTGGTGGCTTGAACTAACAAACTTCTGATTCAGAAGTGAGAGTGTTACCTATTAACCAACACTTGAAGTGAACGTGAGCATCTTATAATAGTCACTTGAGTATTGAGATAAAGTTTCAGGCCTTGTAATCCTCAAGAATTTGTCAGTTTACAATGCTAAGCAGGGCTACTCTGTTATAAGGTGGTTTGCTAGAGCCTGCTTACAATACAAATGACTGAGGACTCCTGATTATCAACAGGGAGTACAATTCTGGCACAAAGCCATTGGCTTCTACCATAATTCTATCATAATCCTTGCATTTGATATAGCGCCTTATCACATCGTTGAGATGCCTCTAGGGTTTCACAGACTCTATTGTAAAGTGGAGTGAGTGTGTGTATTTTGTGGGTGAAATGTGGCAGCCAGTTGCGCACAGCAGTTTCCCACAAACAATCGTGCATTGAGTGACCACATTTTTTTTCTTTGAAGTGATTATTACCCCCGGAGAGCGATCCACTAATCGACTAATAACCAGGTTCCTATTTACTGTTAGGTAAACAGAGGCATGTGGAGCCCATTCCTGTATTCACAGGAAGTTGATTAATCCATGCTGGTTGTGATGCACAACCTGGAAACAGGACCAGTGTAGTGTTTAAATATGGACCCATAACACCTTGTCATAATATACAGTCACTTTGTACAATCAAAATCCCGTCACCTTGCACATTTTCTCTGCCTTTAAAACCATCCTGAAAGCCTATTTCTGAAGTTTCTTTCAGTTATCATCCTCTTTACCCCTGCACTCTCCGATTTGTTATGCACACTGCCTCTGTACAGAGCATTGAGGCAATATCTTGTGTGTGAAAGGCACTATATATGTGCAAGTTATTATTCATATATCTAAGCACTATGCAAGGGCAAGTTGCTTCCAATATACACAGCCACTGCATTTCAGAAAGTGTGGCTCAGTTGGTAGAATTCTCACCTGAGTCAGAAGTTTGTAGGTTCAAGCCCTACAGTAGGACTTGGAACTTGTATAACAACAACAACTTGGATTTATATAGCGCCCTCCACGCCGGACGGCGTCTCAGAGCATATAGTTTAGGCTGATCCTCAAATGTAGTACTGGGGTGTGCTGCATTTTTGAATAAGACATTAAACCAAAGTCCCATCTTCTCATTCAGATGAATGTTAAAAGTCCCATAGCCTATTTGAAAAGAGAAGGAAGTTTCTCCCAGTATCCTGACCAACAGTCCCCCACAAAATATAGTTATGCCATTATTTGAAATAAAAAATTGTTACATAATATATCAATGTAATATTTAGGTTATGGAACAATTATGCTGTTAGTCTACTATTTATTATAACAAATTCTCAGTAATGTGCTGTACAATAATAATTCTTATATGAACACAGACCAGCATTTCACACCTTAGCTTGTATTTTTTGTTCTTCCTTTCCGCCATTCATTTCTTATCCTTGAATTTTTGTTGCTGATGATTATTGATACAGCCAGCATACAAGTTTAGCATTGGTGCAATGAGTTGAGTTTGTTCTCAAAACTCAAGTCTAGTGTTCTCCATATTCAATTTAAAAATGACGTCTCTCAAAATTTTAATTTTATACAAATGTTAAAATATTTCCTAAATTAGATCTCTCATGCTTTCAAAAAAAAGTGTCACATTAGCTGAAATAATTAGCTGGTGACCATTTCTTATGTTGGATCATTCACTCCAGAATTCAGACATTCCAGATTTATTCAATGGACAGTCCCCATCCCCCCCCACCCCCACAATGCTTACAAAAGCCTCAGGTCGTGAGGCTAAATAACGGTATTGTCTGTGCATAATTGTCCATTATCTTTGAAAGCAAATGACTTGGAAGACCAAAGAAACCAAATATTCGCATAGATATAATTCTCGCCTCTGTAAAGGACAGTGTTTCTGTGCGAAATCCATTGGTTTCCAGGTCCGTTTGCATCATCTATTGGTATGTGTGCATATGTACAGTATTTGTGTAGAAGCTACAGCAAAACTGTATCTACCCTACCATAGGTTCAACAATGCTGTTAAATACCTGATGGGAAAGTTGGTATGTAGTAAATAGCAAAAAGTTAACTTTGAAACTGAAGGTAAGTTGGAAGGCTGAAAGTGGAAGCGTTTGGGCTTTCTACTACTATATCTAACTTGTAGCATATTACTTACTGCATTCTGAATATCTTAAATTTCATATATAATATATAAAAACATAATATGGAGACAATATTATATAAATAACTTCATAATTATTATATGCCTGAGTATTTTGTTGGTAAATGGTTACATGGTATTTTCAGGTAAAAATGTAATATTTAATATTTCAGTTACACATTGCAGGCACTGCTTAAACATGTACTTTGTTTAGAGGTCAGTGGTTCGTAATCTTGTGGTTTGACTGCCACTGACATTTACTACTAGAAAAGAGCTGGTCTCCAGTTGATCAAATGTACAAAAAACATAGAAACATAAAAGTGGTCCTGCAAAGTGTCTGTCTTTCACTTATAACTTTTAAAGCAGAGTTGTTTTATTAAAAGAGCGTATTTTAACTTCACTTGCAGAAATTTCTACCCTCTTGACCATATTTGATATTTTTCCTTTTACTGTTGTGCATTATTCACAAAAATGTGTTGGTATCTAAATGTGGGATTACATCAAAATACAGTCTGATCTTGTCCTTGCTTAACATTCATATATGGACATCCACCAACAATTGCTAGATAGACATAATAGGACAGAGTAGGATATGAAAAATAAAAAAGCTAATTTTCCGCTCTTTAACTTGGAACACTATGAGCTGATTGTAAATCTTCCTCTCTCTGACTCTCCCAACTTAGATCAATTCAGCACAAACTAGGGATCAGGGAACTTCCTAATATGTATTGCTCTGCAGATATTGGATACACATGCTAAACTAATTATCTATTTTTAAGTCAAGAATAGTTTTTGATTTTCAAGGTAATATTTTAGAGAGGCTGTAATGTGCTAAACATATTATTAGTATGTTACTCTTGATGTTTTGTGAGTTTGAATTAAGACAAAACTTTTACTGCATTATGTTATAATGAAAACTACATTGTATCTTTCAAATACAGTACATGTATTCTTTCAGTTTTAATTTAACGTTTATTTTTATTTTCAGCAGGAAAATGTCATCAAGAAGGAAACCAGATCACCTGGAGAGAACAGTCAACAACTTCCGTCAACAGGTCTGTACAACTTGTATTTTGGAATAAGGGGGAGGATTTTTAGAATCCAAGTTGATTGTGTAATATAAATTGTGAAACTTTTCCAGTGTGGAATTCTCTGCTTTTAATGGGGTATTGAAGCGGTATTGTAAAAACAGTTTGCTGGAGAATTCAAACAAACTGGATCATCTGACATCCCAACAGAGCACAGAAGCTCGATCATTGTTTACTGACTCTGCTATTTCATTGATAAACCACCACCTTTTGCCTAGTTCATGTGTTACATATATACCAGTCATGTGATGCTGTTGTGTACAACTACAGTTACATGTGAAAGAAATGCATTTTTTTCAGAAAAAATGTAAAACTTAAAAAACACTTTGACATTTTTTTTGAAAATGTAAAGCTGGAAACATTTCTGGACCGAAAAATATTATGTGTCCTGATACAAGTGTCACCTTTCACATTGGTTAAGTTGGTAGATAAAGATTTTACATTATTTAAAGGGGGGGCTTTCTGAAGCGAAGTTCATAACGTATTAACAATTATTGGACTGTTTATTTTAGATGTGTTAATATACTAGAATTGCCTTTGCTAGTTCACAGACCTTTCGGGAATATATTCATAATGTATTATTAATATTTCATGGAATATCTGCTGTAATTTGTTTTCGCCCTTAAAACAAATAATACTTTTCAAATTAACCAATTGATAATTTGAATTTATCTTCTTAAAGTTAACCAATCTGTGTTACACACACACAGAAGTGTTTGCTTGGGTTGAAACATTCAGTGAAATTTAATGACTGTTTTTAAAAGGAAACAAATAATTCTTGCAGGTAATTGGAAACGTGATGGAATTCTTCAATCACAAATTTATTGTATAGAACTACAAAGATTTCAAGTAAATTGTTCAAAACATTTTTGTACAATCAAAATAAACTGAATTGTGGGATCCCCTTGCTTTAAGTGTAAATTTGTTGCCATGATCATGTCTGAAAGTATTAACTAGAAATTTTAATACAGTGCAAAGGATCAAGATTAGTAATTCTAATTTTAAGGTATACATTTTACAAACTGTATACTTTCCTCTCAGTGATTTATTTCGCGTTTCGCCCACAAATATACGGTCAATTCACTTTACAGTCATTCTGTGAAGCGCTTTGAAACGTCGAGAAAACATGAAAAGCTCTATATCAAATGCAAGAATTATTATTATTTTGTTCACGGTGAAAGATGTTGATGAGAGAAATAGAAGCCTTCTACTTTGGGTGCTCATCGGGTATTGCAACATGTTATTGCAGAATACTTACATTGAAGAATATTCTTTAAAGTTGAATTGTTTTTTAAAGAAAGTGCATGTAATCTTAGTCACTTTAGAACTGCTGGTTTGAGGTATTGTTCAGGCACTGATTTTTGTATGCAACCCCACTTCTCTTGTGCTGCTTCACAGTCTTACTCCAGTAACATCAGGAATGGGGAATTCAACTACAATGCACCATTTCCATGCTTGACTCAGAAATTAATGATGTCTCATGGGAAAATTCTGAATAAAATTTGTGTTTATCTCAGCAGTTCTAAAGTATAAATCACGCCATAAAATGACTGAAAGATGTTGAGAAGTGTACAGATGTTGAGAAGTGTACCCCTCCAGTCCGGTTTCCGCCCTGCCCACAGTAGAGACTGCGCTTGTGAAAGTCACAAACTACATCCTCTCTATCTGTGACCAGGGCTCCCTCTGCCTCCTTGTCCTCCTGGACCTCTCTGTCGCGTTCGACACAGTTGATCACGCCATCCTCCTCCACTGCCTTTCCTCCGTCATCCACCTCAGTGGGACCGCACTCGCCTGGTTCGAATCCTACCTCACAAACCGCCAGCAGTACATCTGCAGAAACAGCTTCTCCTCCGGTTCTCACCGGTTACCTGTGGGGTACCCCAAGGATCCATCCTTGGCCCCCTCTTTCTGATCTATATGCTCCCTCTTGGGGATGTCATCCGCAGACGTGGGGTACAGACGGCACTGGCTGCCTATCCCAGAGAGGATCGATTTCAAGATCCTCACCCTTGTATTCGAGTCCCTGCACTCCTCTGCACCCCCCTCCCTCTCTGATCTCCTCTCCTCAAAACGGTACCCGTTGCCTTAGTTCCTCCGGGTCTGGCCTCCTCCTCTTCCCCCGAGTCCTCCGCTCTACCCTCGGCGGCCGTGCCTTCAGCCACTATGCCCCGAGGCTCTGGAACTGCCTTCCTCACTCCCTTCGTCTCGCTCCCTCCCTTCCCATTTTCAGGTCTCTGCTGAAGACCTTTTTTTTGGACCACGCCTTTGGTCACCTTCCTCCCCCTCCCCCTGGCTCGATCCTGGGATCTGTTACTGTGAAGCGCTCTGAGACGCCGTCCGGTGGAGGACGCTCTATAAATCCAAGTTGTTGTTGTTAAGGTTATTTCTTAAAATTATAAAACAATTAAATATAACATACTTTTCTCTCTTTTCAACCTCAGCAGAGGACAAAGTTAAACATGTTTGATTTTTTTTTTTACTTACCATTATAATGATTTAGCTAAGGTAAGTTGATAGTTTTGTGCTTTTCACATAACTGTGTTCAGACCTACAAAGTTCCTATCAAGTAGGATCTTTTCAGGTGGCAGAGAAATACTATGTAGATCCCGTCAGATTGGGCTGGATAGGAATGAATCTCTTATATAATGTTATAACTCACTCTGCTCCTGTTTTCCTTGCCAACATACCTTTACAGTTTATTCTCGCATTCTCTTCCCAATCTATGTGCATTTCCCTAAAATAGTCACAGAATTATCATGGGGAAAAAAGGGGGATGGGTGTCTTTTGTATTAGCTTCTAATTCAAAGTTTTGTTTTGCTATCAGCATTTACCCAGCTGCTTCATGTGTTCATTGTAAGGAAATGCCTGACAAAGTTTTGACTATTGGCAAAACTGCTGACTGGTGAAGTCAAGCAGTGTATGGGAAAAGCTATAGGAGCTCCATTGTGTAGGATTGCAAATTGGTTAAAAACTCGGGTTTTGGCTCAAAAGAGAGAGGTGAAGTTTTCATTGTCTATTTTATTATAAGAGAGAGATATGTAAAAGGGTCAATCAATCAATGAAAGCATAGTTTGGCAAGCTTTCCTGATGCTTCTCAAAATAGAATCACTCTATCCATTAGGACTTTTGCTTACAGGGTTAACAGGAGCTGAGTGGGCAGAATTTCTGCTGATGAGCCAGACTGGTCGGTCATTGCCCTAGAATATGACGGACTTGCCTGGCTGAGGAAGTGGACTACTGAGACTGCCACATAGGATAGAGTGAGTTCCGATATTCCTTCACCAAGTGTCACCTTGGAATCAATTCAGCTTCAGGGAGATCCTGCTTAGCTTTCACCCTCTCTCCCCACCCTCTACACCACCACCACCGATAGAGGGTAGCCACGAGTTGGTCAATTGACAACCAACAGGTTTGAGCCCTCTCTAGGTGAAAGGCAGGTGCCAGGAACTCCTTGGAATTCCAGCTCTCTTTATATATATCTCTTTTATATATCTATTTATTGCTCAACTATTTTTCTTGGGGGTGAGGTGAACGGGGTTTGCTTGTATCTAAGATGGTTTCATGGTGATGTGCTTTGGCAATGGAATTGAATAAACCCTCTTTGGTGGTCTTGGTTGGCCAATTCCTTAAACTAGGTGGATCTGCAGAACTCCCAAAACATTGTTGAATGTTTCACGGCAGGACAGACAGGCATACTTGGAGCAGGGATTCTTCCCACTTCAGCTCCCATTAACCTTATAAGCCAGAGTCTGATGGGTAGTCCTAGCTGGACAAGAAGCAGAAAACTTGACAGCTCTCAAAAGCAAACTATGCAGTTTTAGCTGATTAAACTACAGCACACACTCTGCAGGTCTCCAAGCCTTGGCCTTTGCCAGCCTGCACCTCATATTATCAAGAATAAGAAAAGTAGGATGTGCCCATCCAAGGAGAGAATGGGCGATTCATTCCATACACAGAAAAATATTTATGCATCGGTGACTTACGTATTCAAAACTGGTTTGGATACTCCTAGTGATGGATTTCTTCGTGTCAGCCAGCTTGCCTGAGAAAAGTATACTGCTCAGACATTTATTCAGTTCCCTTTTGAATGACTATTGATCCAACTTTAATAGCCACTTACTGAATTAAATTCCTAAATAAGTGAAGAAAGTCTTCCTCCTAATTTTTCTGTTAACTATTTTACATGAATGTTAACATTCTTAAAGAATTTCCTTTTTCATATAATCATCATCATAATACTATTCTTTGCCTTTGGTATATATTCTTTCATGTCAGGAGGATGTCCCAAAGTGCCTAATAGAATTTACTGTGAAGTGGAGTGAATGTGTATTTGTGGGTGAACATATAAATATATACTGTATGTACTGATGAAATTGAGAGCTGGAGAGGGGGGGAAGAGAAACACTGACCATACTGAGAGCAATAGAATGTCCCAACTGCATTGTGGAAGGGATTCATAATAAAACGTGCAATCACAGCTGAATTCTATTTATCTGGAATTGTTTTATTTGGTGAATATTTATTGTTTACAGTATACCTTTGGTATTGAGGTTAAATAATAATAATAATCCTTGAATGTCATATAGCGCCTTATCACGTCATTGAGACGTCTCAAAGCGTTTCACAGGGTATATTGTAAAATGAATTGACTGTATATTTTGTGGGTGAAACTCGGCAGCCAATTGCACACAGCAGTATTCCACAAGATTTGTTGAAGAACATAGAGGGAGACAGATCTCAACTCTGTTCCTTTCTCGCTTTCTCTTCACGTGTCTTTTACTGCGAGCATTTAGCATGTCCCACACTAAACTCCATACCCATATCATACCAGTCCTTGCCAGGTTCCACTGCCTATCACAGAACGGATCAATTTTCAAGATTCTCTCACTTGTCTACTAATCCCTTCACACTCTGCGCCTCCCTACTTTTCTGGCCTGTTTCGCCCCACTCCACTACCTGTTGCCTCTGCTTGGCTGGTTCTGGCCTCCTGCTTGCCCCTCGTCCCCTCCACTCCACTGTAGGCGGTAAAAGGAATACTTTTTAAAAAGTGACAATAGCAATTATTGACTTCGCCAATTATGCTGTGACATGCAGCAAGCTCACTTTTTTCAAACTTTTGAAATACGTTTAGTACATCAAATCCATGGACAGTGAGATTCCTATATACTTTAGTGAGAGGATGGGTTAAAACAATTTGCATAGTTCACGTAAGCTGATGTTCTAGTTTGCTTCTTTTTCTAACCATTGCAATAAAATTAAATTGGATGAAACAATTTTAAGGATATTTTTAAAATTGAAAAAGAATCTTTTGAGTTGGATTGTTTTTCTGGCAGATTTTGAATAAGTAATATAGAATGATCAACTGATCAGTACCTTAAGCTTTTATATTTTTTTAAAACGGTCCTATTAACTAGCATATTTTTGTTTAAAATAAGATAATTCTGTGATATGCAAACTCGATTTAAACTAGGAACAAATGGAAAAGTTTCCAGGTAGGTACAAGAACAGATAAAATCTGTTATTGGGCACTTAGAGAAATTGCTTTTGGTTTTCAATGTACTATCTTTTCTTTTGGAAAGGTTATTGCTCCAGCAAAAGTTTGCGGAATGATGAACGAGTCTGAAACAGTTAAGAGGCTACGCCTTACTGTTCTGAACAAAGATTTTACTTTCAAAGCAGGACAATGGTAAGTGATTTGTTTCTACATTAGAAGAGTAGTAAAATAATTGTTTGCACTGTACAATTTAATTTGTATCCCCAATAACATGAATTCACTAAAACGTTTAAAGTCCATTTAGTCTTGCTCATAATTGTCAAACACATTGGATGTTAGAACTGCTGGAGTGATCACAAAATGTTACATGTTGCTAAAATATGTAGTATTCAGTGCATAAGGAACTTCCACGTGGGTTGTCAAGATCATTACAACAACTTGCATTTATGTTGCGTCCTTCACACAGCATCTTGTTGTACTGTACAGTGGCAGGGGTGGATACTGGGGAAGGAAGGATGTGAGCATAACAATTTAGTCTACTAAATTTGTTTTAATTCTTTAAAATGCTGTATTTTTTTTTAAAAAGGGTGGACTTTTTTGTCCCAGGTGTGTCGAAAGTCGGTGGTTTTTCTATTTGTTCAAGCCCCGGGCTGTTGGAAAGGGAAGGTGTACTGGAACTGGCAGTAAAAATTACCAAGCATCCTCCTGCACAATGGGTTCACTCTCAGGTAACTAAAGTTCCTTAATTTCTCAAAAACTTTAAAAAATATATCAAGTTCCAGGGGCTAGCCTGGCTCAGGTAGTAGCACTCGCCTCAGTCAGAAAGTTGAGGACGCAAGCCCTATGTCAGGATTTTGACCTCGCACTCCAGGCTTGCATTCTGAAAAAGTGCTTGGGAAGCTCTGCATTGTTGGGGATATCTTCCTTTACATGAGTTGTTAAACTGAGGTCTTATCTGCCTGTCAGCTGGATGTTCTCTCCTGCATGTCTGAACTTCTCAACATCCCCAGGCTCTCCCTCAGACTCACTGAACCCCTGCGCAACTTAGGCATTAGGTTCGATCCCCAGCTTTCCTTTATACTCCACATCCGTTCCCTGACCAGAATCTCTTTGTTCCATCTCTTATCACATTGCCCGCCTCGTCCGTACCTCACAACGCAGCCGAAACCCTCGTCCACGCCTTTGACACTTCCCGGCTGGACTATTCCAATACCCTCCTCATTGGTCTCGCCAGCTCCACCATACACAAAATTAATTTGACTCAAAACTCCGCTGCTTGGATATAATAATAATCCTTGCATTTGATGGAGCACCTTATCATGTCTTTGAGGCATCTCAAAGCTCTTCACAGAATATACTGTAAAGTGAATTAACTGTATATTTTGTGGGTGAAATTGGCAGACAATTGTGCCAACTTGGGTTGGTATTTTCCAGATTAAAAAAAAGATTACCATTCATTTCATGGTAGTTTGTGGGGCAGTGCTGTGCGCAAATTGGCTGCAACAAAATGCACAGCACTACATTAAAGGTGCAATATAAAATGTAAGTATTATTATATAAGGCCACTTATTGAAGTCCAATTGCCACGATACATAGAAATATATATATATATACTATATTTTTAGATGGATTAATTTTTCCCTCTATACAACAAGAAGATTAATTTATATACCTCCTTTCGTGTCGGGAGGACTTCCCAAGGCGCTGGACAGTGTACAGCATTTCAGACCCGAGCTGGGGTCGAGGGAGAAGGGAGGGGAGGGGAATGGGGGTGGGCCATGGCATGGTCGAAGAGGAGGGTTTTAAGGCAGGACTTGAAGGAGGCTAAGGAGGGGGCGAGGCGGAGTGACTGGGGGATGGAATTCCAGAGGTTGGGGGCAGAGTGACTGAAGGCTCTCCCACCAATGGTGGGGCGAGTGGGTTGGAGGACGTGGAGCAGGCCAGAGCCGGCTGAGCGGAGGGAGCGGGCGGGCTGGTAGGGGGTTAGGAGGTCACAGATAATAAATGATAATAGTAATCCTTGCATTTGACATAGCGCTTTTCACGTCTTCTCGACATCTCAAAGCGCTTCACAGAATAGACTGTAAAGTGAATTGACTGTATATTTGTGGGCGAAAATATAGGGTGGGTCGAGACCATTGAGGGCTTTGTAGGTGAGGACCAGGATTTTGAACTAGATCGTCTGAAGAATAGGGAGCCAATGGAGTCAGGCGAGAGTGGGGGAGATGTGATCATGGAGTTTGGTGCGGGAGAGGACACGGGCTGCAGGTTCTGGATTATCTGCAGCCAGTGGAGGAAGGAGTTGGGAAGGCCGACAAGCAGCGCGTTTGCATAGTCGAGTGAATCTGCATTTACAGAATACTGTCAGAAATTGGAGTCAAAGAGATGCTTTTTCTCAATCCAATTGAGTTTTGAAGGAGTTTTTCTTGCCCAATTCATTACAAATATTTAGGATTGGCCCTATGAGTAACTTTATTATAGGAATTTTCAAGATTGTGTGAGATGGTTCTTAAAGTAATTTATCAAAAAAATAATTATTTTTCCATTCATCGTTAAGTAGGATATTTGATTGTAAATGTTACAGAGCCAAATTATTCCATATCATTCATTGAATTAACCAAATTTTCTATTGTATCATTCTACAAACCAATATGTGAGAACCCCTAATTTACCAGTACAGCAATAGAAATATTTGTTCTCTTCACAGCATTGTTACAAAACCTATTTATCCATCTAAGATAACCACGACAAGTTAACAATTAATCAATATGATTGAAAACATGTATTCTCTGTTGTAAGGTTTTTTGCAAAGAAACATATTAAAGGGTCCCTGCCCCATTAAGAAGCCTTATGATTAGCCATATTACTTGTATCTGAAGAATGAGGAAGGCCCTAGAAGACATTTATAAAATTTGGCCTCGAATATAGATAATATGCACTGAACAACCACTAGCTGGTGCTACAACCCTACCTTAAATTACATTTAATTGTAGGACCCAGCTGGCTTTGTGCAGAACTCCATAATGCTGAACTTTTTTTTAGATACAAGCATCCTGTTTTATTTCAGGAATATATTAGTTTGAATTAGAAAGGGTATATCTTTGAAAATAAATTATGCATTTTTTTAATTAATGCACCTGAATAGATGGTCCCTATATTTGTTATTCCAACAATAGATCACTGATCCCTCCCCCTCCATGAGTAATCACAAGAGACTACAGAGAGCCCTTGCTTACATACTTTGCAAGTATAGGAGTTAAAAACTTTCCAAATTAAAAACAGTTTCAAACAATTAAAAACTTTTCCAATCAAACAGGATTCCTTAATTAAGGAATCTGGATATATGTTGCATAAACTCACAGGAATTCTCTTCAGCTCAATCTCCCATTGAAATGAATCGTACAGCACAAAAAGAGGCCGTTCTGTCCATCGAGTTTGTGCCGGCTCTTTGATTAGAGCAATTAATGTCAATCCCACTCCCCAGCCTTTTCCCCATAATCCTGCAAACCCGTCCTCCTCAAATACCCGTCCACCACGTTTTTAAAAGTAGTTATCGAATCGGCCTCGGCCACCCTTTCAGGCAATGCGTTCCAGATTTGAACAACTCGCTGCATGAAAAAATTTCTTCTCACCTCCCCTCTGCTTCTTTTAGAGAATCTATGACCTCGAGTCACCGACACACACACCAGTGGAAACAGTTTTCCCTTTCTAACCTATCAAATCCCCTCATGATTTTGAAGACCTCTATTAGGGACCATCTATTGGGGACCATCTATCATATAGGGACCATCTATTGAAGAATCCAGTTCTTTTTTGATTCTTTATTTGAGGAACTAATAGGAAATTGTTGTGTGTTAAAGCCCATTAAATTTTTTCTTGGTGCTGATTTCTGAATTTGGCTTTATTATAAATTTAGCAATTGTTTGTGTATTCAGTGTAAATGTTTCATGTACTGTCATATCAAAGTAGATGCCAAAAATATAAAAATATTTGTGGTGCAGAATGCATCATGAAGAATACTTGGTTATTAAGTTTGTCCCAGGTTTTTTTAAATGAATCACGTTTTTCATAAAAATTGCATAGGCAAGATGGATCTCTCCAAAATACTGTGATGGAGTATTAGAATGCAGATAAGTATCTGCCAGGTAGATGCTGATTCCTAACACTTCCCCATAGGTTGGTAAGGTAACAGAAAATAAGTTTGTTCTGATCTGCACTTGTGTAAGCCCACATCTTGAATACAGTATAGCATTGGCAGATACTTTGAAGCACAAGGGGTCTTGGCTCGAGATGCTGTATGGTATCAAGAGACCTATTGGGAGTAAAGTAAAATATTTTATGAGAATCTTATCCTTTTCTTTCCAAAGAACTACTGGAGATCATTAATTATCCAATTATTACTACTCTTTAAATTGTACAACAATGCAAAAGAAAAAACAAAGCAAATTATTTTATTACAAGAGTAGGCAGTTCAATCAATTCAATTGTTCTACACTACCGTCTTTTTCTGTGCTGTAAATTTCTATAGTTCTATGGTGCTAACAGGTTTAGTGTATTTTAAAACCAATATTTCTTTGTCCTTTCATTTTAAAGAAACAGCCCCTGAATTTATAATGTTCTCTGAGATTACTTATTACAGAAATACTTCAATGACAAGGAAAACTAAAGTTGTGAAACTGTGAGTCATATAACCTAAAAGTCATTTGTAATGTACTAAAAGCAATATTAGAAGAAGTGAGCAAAGAATAGATTAAGTAGATTGGAAACAACAGAATTCACAAAGTGTGTTTTGCTTTCCTAGAAATAGCCCTTGTTATAAAGACAAAATAGAATCTCCTTACGTGAAATGTTAGGAAAGGATCTTATAAAACGATTGGTTGTAGGAAGATCTATTAAACAATTTTTTGTTTAAAAATAAAAGTAAAAGTAAAAATAAATAAGTAAAATAAAATTTGGATCTAGTTTATTGTGGCTCAGTAATCTTTATTGGAAGTAAATACCGAGAGCATATGTTACAGAGAAACTTAAAAATTTAAATGATTGCAGGTCAGACTGCATAAGACTTACCATCCTCAAGGAAATGGGAGAGGAAATAGGTGAGGCTATGGTTAATCATTCTAGGAGCTGCATAAACACTGAAAGTGCTTGAGGACTGAAGGATAGCAAACATTATCCCATTATTCAAAAAAATGAGACACGAGTCTGAAAACTAGAACAGTTAGCCAAACATCTGTGGTGGAGAATGCTTAAGAGAAAGAAGCATTCAAGATGCTATCAATGCTTATTTAAAGAGCACACTTGGAATAGTTAATGTGGATTTAAAACAAAGGGTGGCTGCAGACTGGACTTTTTTGAGGTAATCGCTAAGTTTTTGGATAAGACCTTACAGGTGGATAAAACTGTTAGACTTGATAAAATTCCACATTTAAGACTTTTAAAGTTTATTAAATTAACTGGTAGGCAGTGCTTTAGGACGTTCTCCTGAAGTGAAAGGCACTATACAAATGTAATTTGTTGTAAATTTAAAAAATGCTTTTCCAATAAGAAGCAGAAAGTGTAGGGAAATTAGCCCATCCACTAAATTAATAACTATATATTTGAAAGAAGTTTTAACCTTACATCACTGGGGAGCCCACATTTGGAATAATGTGTGGTTTTTTGAGCACTCTTGTCTAAAACAACTTTAGATAGGGTTCAGAGAAGAGCAGCATGAATGAATCCAGGACTTATGAGCTCTAAATTTTGAGAGGCTCAAAGAGCTGAACTTGTTTTTGTTGGAAAAATGAAGATTGCGGAAGAAATGGTCCACATTTTTTTAAATGCTGAGATACTATAATATAGGTGTAAGCAGGCAATTTGACTTGGATTATGAGAGGAAGAGGACGAGGGTTTAAAGTTAAAATCTCTATGATTGAAAGAAACAAGTTATGTTAATACTTCTGTCCACTCACCAACATTCAGTTGGTGCTGAATGTGTTATAAATAACTAAATACTTAACTGCTTGGGAACACTACTGCAGTAAGTGGATCTTCTTGGAACTGAACTGGGAACGGAGTATTGGAATTGTGGTGATCTCAAAAGTTCGGTTCCTGAACCAGGCAGGTCTGCAGTACAGTCGGCAGGACTTGGAAGGGCAAACCAGTCAATGGGGATAGGGAATCCTCCCACACAGCTCCTATTAACTCTGCAAGTCAAAGTCCTAAAGGATAAGGTGGCCTTGCTGGACATGTGGGAAAGCTTGCCGAACAGTGACAAGCGCAATGGCAAGCTATGCGTTTTTAGCTGGTTAGACTCTATCAGTACCTCAATACACACTCTGTGGTCCCCAACCCTTGGTGCTTGCCAAACTGGTATGCCTGGAATTTTTGGTTTGGATACTCTTAAGCACGGTGATGGGTTTCCACATGTGTAAGACACCTAAATTACCAAAAAAAGTGAACATCTGTTTAAATTGGCTCCTTAATATTCAGCAGCACAGAGTAATACTCTAAACATTCCAGATAAAATACAGGATAGTAGCTGAAGGCAATGCATATTACAGTGCATCTTTTTGGGTGACAAAACCTTATTAAACAATGCCATTTTGACCAGGTGGTTTGCACCTTATTCAACATATTAGAACTTTTATAATAGCTTGAGTTGTACTTGCAATACTGGTCCCAACTTGAGACAAAACTTTTTATATGTGAACAGGTTTTAAAAATGATGGCCATATGTGTGATTGATTGACTACCTTGTTTAATTTTAATGTCACAGCTAGTAATACTAGTTTAGAATTTTATAGGGCAGGATATGTGAAAAGAGCAGAACATAGAATTGAAGTGGACAACTCAAGTGTGAGAGCTAGCAATGTCACAAGCAAATCGACTGAATAACCTTGGTCTGTGCTCACATTTCTGCAATCTATTTTATACTTCACCATTTTATTATTCTGTATAAAAACTGTGTCCACTTGGAAGTGAATCAACAATCTGCAATTTATTAACCAAGATGATTTATGCACTTATTCCTTTAAGCTGGACCGATAGTGGTATGATGGAGAAATTACTTGAAAGTTTTGGTACTACTTTAAAAATGTAACTTTACAATCAGCCTTGTGACTATTTAATGCATTTACAAACTGAAACTGTGTATGGTTGTGAGATTATTGGATTAACAATATGAAATGATGCACGGTGACATTTTGGGATACACAGAGAAGTTTTTGATAGAAGTGCATAGAACAAAATGGAAATTGTGTGATTTTTACATGCAGATAAGTAACTCAGCATTCCATAGAGGGTAGCAATTTGCCAGGGAGTAATTTGAGCTCTGATTCTTGCCTTTTCTTTCAGAAAATGCCATTAATGATTTCTTCCTCTTTTAAAAAGGAGTTCTTAAAATATTTATTTTCCTTCTCTAGTGTGTTCTTGGATCAGAGGTAGCTCTACGAGTAGGGGGTGATTTCTTCTATGACCTTCAACCTTCCAATTCTTCGGTGGACATACTGTTGATTGCTGGCGGAGTGGGCATTAACCCCTTGTACTCTATACTATTACATACGGCTGATCTCCACAGACTTCACGAAAGCAAACATTATGAATACAAACCTGGATCTGTACAGCTTCACTTCAGTGCGAAAAACACTGAAGAACTTCTTTTCAAGGTTTGCATAACCTCGTTTTACTGCTTGACCTTTGACTTCTCTGAAAGTGAACAATTTTGTAGGTGACAACTGATAGCTTTTGTATCTTGGATAGATTCAACTGGGGTTGGTTCAATAGATGGATATTGTTGTTCCCCCTTGGGAGGGAGGTAGGAGGTATATAAGAGTCTCGTGGGAATCAATTGTTTTTAAGGTGTGATAAATATGGCAACTGAATGTTGGAATCAAGTTAGTCCTGTGGGTGCTCTTAGTAGCTTGGTTCTTGAACCAGATCAGTACCTGACAGATTTGGCTCATTGGCAGGACCTGGAGGGACATACCAGTAACTGGGAGCAGGCATTCTTCCCAGTTGGCTCCTCTTTACCCTGCAATACAAAGATAGGGTTGCCCTAGCTGGACAAGCAGCAGGAAGCTTGCTAGACAATGCTTTATAATCCAATTTATGTTGATATGCAATCTTTAACTTCCCAAGGAGCACCAACGGTGCTGGATGGCGCCCCAAGTTAGAAGTGGTTGCTCAGGGGTTTGGGGAAAGATGACCGAAAGCATGGTTTTAAGATCTGTCTTGAAAGAGGGGAGGGCTGAGTGAGTTGAAAAGACTCCAAGATGAAGTTCCAGAGAGAGGGGCAGAAAGGATGAAAGCCTGCCTGCCAATGGTGGTGGTGGGGAGCATGAAGCAGGCTGGTGCTTTCAACAGTAGGCTGTGTTGGTTTAGGTGGTTAAGCTCCAGCAGTCTGCCAACACACATTTTGGAGTCCCCAAGCCTTGTCTCTGGCCAACTTGTGCCTAATACTTTCTGGAATTAAGCAGATTATATCCCTCCAGGACGGAGGACATGTTCATTTCAGATGCAGAGAAATTTCAGTGTGTAGATGGCATAGATTATATGGAACACTGTCAAGTTTGGATACTATTAAGATGATGTTGGCAGTGGTTGTCATGTAAAGTGAAGGCATCAAAAACTATAAAACATTTAAAATATTTGTTGGGCTTAAATGGAACTTCTGAGCTGGGCTGCATGAGGCGGTAAGCGTTCAAATGTCCTGATTACTCACATACCCAGTCCGCCCCTGGATTTCCACGTGTGTCAAGCACTCGGCTGCCCAAAGCAAAATTGTCTTCCACCATTCTCTGGACTATATTTTATTATACGTTAACAGCACACTAACACTTTAATATGTCCAATGTGGTCTAAATGTAATATGCAGCCAATGGGATTTTAATGTTTCCTTCAGTGCTCTATTCTCAGAATTGCTGCTGACAATTCCATCTCTTTTTACATTCATTAAAATTCTGCTTCACCCGATAGGCCTGAAACTTTTTTTGAGGCTTTTTCCATCAAAAAGAATGTTAAATTAAAATGATTTATGGGAAAAGATCAATAAAGTACCTTTTGAGGCATTTTTGGAATGGCAGTTGAATTACGTGTCACAATTGTACTTAAAAATCAATGATTTTTTGCGTTCATTGGGGAAGAGTATTAATTAATGACTGAAAAATATTTTGTTTTTATGTGGCACTGTCAGCAATCCCAGGTCTGGTTTTATTTTTGTGAACGCATATTGCATGTTATCTTTATTAGTATGGTTTTGCAGGAGTGTGAGAAGCCTGGTTTAACAGATGTTATTGCAGAGTCTGGAAATGCTTCAGATGAGTCCAGGCTTGATATGAAACAAAATCAAGATGCAGACCCAACAGCATCTCTGCTCTGAGCAAGAATTGAATTCAAAAATAACCAAATTTATTATTAATGCATGATTTATGCTACATTGTATCTTTAGAGACCGACCGACTTGCCATTGTAGATCAAAATATATTCAAAAATATATGGAAATTAACCTGATCTGCTATTCAGTTTACAGTTCTAGCTGTCTATAAGAAAATATTTCAAATAATTTAATTTAACATTTTTGGATGGATACTGCTAAATAAAAAAGCAGCATTTTCAGGACCATTATGCTCGATCGGAATTTTAAGAAATTAAAAGAGTAAACTATAGGGGGTATGGAGAAAGGGCGGGTAAATGGGACTGAACTGATTGGTCTTCAGAGACACAGATACAGTGAGCGAAATGGCCACCTTCTGTGCTGTAAATTTCTATAGCTCTATGGTACCCTGTCAGCTCCATCACCAAAATTATTATTATTTATTATTATTATTCATGATTCTCAGGTAATAAACCTAACTGCTTCAAAACTAAAAGTGGGCTGCAATGGCTTCCACAAAAGGAAGGAGGCCTGAGGATTCCTAACTGCACCAGGGAATCCTTGCCTGGAATGGGATCTCGCTTCCAAACGTCTGCTAGAACTATGGGAGCCAATTTGATCATGTCAAATCTCATGTATAACATTTTACTCATAGTTGCCCAGAAAAGTACAGATTAGATGTGGAATAGAGCTTGTCTTGCAATTTACCAATCTGAGTCCGAGCCCAATATCAGTAGAATATATTGACTGCACCAGTGCGATTTAACTCTTGCACCATTCATCGTTTTGGTGCTTCTCAGCGATGCTGTGGAATTATTTCTGCTAGAAACTGACTTAACACCAGGCCAAATTGCTTGCTACCCCATTGCATAATTAACCCTCAATTTTTATATTTTTTTCAGCTGCACTCCTGCTTGTAAAAGTTTTAACCCACAGTTGATAGCTTTTGGATTAAAATGTATTTGTATGTAAATTTGTATAGTAAGAATTTTCAAAAAAATTGTATGTTAATGTATGTTAATGCTCTGTTAATACAATAATATTAATAGTTCCTATTTCAATTACTGTAATAGTTATTGACTTGGCCATGTCCATAATAAATTTAATTCCTATTCCCAATATATATTAGCAGTTTGTATCAGATCCCCCCAAAACTAAAAAAACTCATAAAGAGCGAGAAAAAGGAGTATGAGGGTAAGCTAGCTAGGAACATTAAGTCTGATTGTAAAAGTTTTTACAAATATATTAAGAGGAATAGGCTAGTGAGGGTAAATGTAGGTCCACTTCAGTCAGAGACGGGAGAAGTTGTAATGGGGGATAAGGACATGGCAGAGTCCCTAAATGAGTACTTTTGCATCTGTCTTCACCCTAGAAGACACAACAAGTCTGCCAACAATAGAGATGCACCAAGGGGATAAGGACAGGGAGCAACTTAGGGAAATTTTCATTAGTAGAGAATTGGTGCGAGGGAAACTGTTAGCACTAAAAAGTGACAAATCCCCTGGTCCGGATGGCTTGCATCCCAGAGAGTTTTAAAAGAGGTAGCTTATGAGATAGTGGAGGCCTTATGTCTGATCTTCCAAAATTCCTTGGATTCTGGAACAGTCCCCATGGATTGGAAGATCGCAAATGTCACACCACTATTTTAAAAAAAGGTGGAAAGGAAAAGATGGGGAACTATAGGCCAGTTAGTCTCACATCAGCGATAGGAAAATTTTAGAATCATTGATTAAGGATGTGGTAGTGCGGTATTTAGGGGAACACAATATAATTAGGCCAAGTCAACATGGCTTTACAAAAGGGAAGTCATGTTTGACAAATCTCATAGAGTTTTTTGAGGATATTTCCAGTAAACTAGATAAGGGTGAATCAGTGGATGTGGTCTATTTGGACTTCCAGAAGGCATTCGATAAGGTGCCGCATAAAAGGTTAGTCCAAAAGGAATTGGGGGGAGCATATTAACGTGAATTGGGAAATGGTTAACGGGTAGAAAACAAAGAGTAGGGATAAATGGGTCCTTTTCAGATTGGTGGGATGTGACTAGTGGTGTGCCACAAGGATCAGTCCTTGGGCCTCAGCTATTTACCATCGACATCAACGATCTAGATGAGGACATCGAAGTTAACATATCTAAATTCGTGGATGACACAAAACTAGGAGGAAGGGTCAACACAGACGATGACATTAAAAAAATGCAGCGCGACATAGATAGGTTAGGTGATTGGGCAGGTAGGTGGCAGATGAAGTATAATGTAGGGAAGTGCGAAGTCATCCACCTCGGTAGCAAAAACAGTTGAGCGGGTTATTTTTTAGAAGGGGAGAGATTGGAATGTGTTAGTGTCCAGAGGGACTTGGGTGTCCTTGTACACCAATCACAGAAAGTTAGTCTGCAGGTGCAGCAGCAATTAGGAAGGCGAACGGTATGTTAGCATTCATTATGAAAGGATTAGAGTATAAGAGTAGGGAAGTCTTGCTGCAACTGTATAGGGCCCTGGTGAGACCACACCTGGAATACTGTGTGCAGTTTTGGTCTCCTTATTTAAGGAAGGGTGTACTTGCCTTGGAGGGGGTGCAGCGTAGATTTACTAGGTTAGTACCAGGGATGAGGGGATGAGTTACGAGGATAGGCTGACCAATTTGGGTCTATATTCTCTGGAATATAGAATTAGAGGGGATCTTATAGAAACCTATAAGATCATCACAGGGCGTGATAGAGTAGATAGTGGGAGATTGTTTCCGCTGGTTGGAGAAACTAAAACCAGGGGTCACAACCTTAAAATCAGAGACCAGCCCTTTCGCACTGAGTTGAGGAAGAACCTCTTTACTCAAAGGGTGGTGAATGTATGGAACTCACTACCCCAAAGGGCTGTTGACGCTCAGTCCTTGAGCATATTCAAGACTGAGATAGATATATTTCGTATTGCAAAAGGGATTAAGGGATATGGGGATAAGGCAGGGTCAGGTTATTAGCTCGAGTTAGATTAGAAGATCAGCCATGATTGAATGCCGGGGCAGGCTCGAAGGGCTGAATGGCCTACTCCTGCTCCTACATGTTATGTTATTATGCAGGAGGAGTTTCTAAAGTTTGGTGAGAAAGTGCAAAAGCTCTTCTCTAACTGTTTAGAAATTAGACTGTTGTATTTTACTAAATGCCTTCTCTTTGCCTTCTTTTTGCCATTCGAATAGGAACAGGCTGAGCTTTGCCAATTTTGAGGCAAACCCTAGCTAAACCTCTCTCCCTCAGATAACCTCTGATTATCAATTGTGGTCTTGTCTCGAGGGAGGTGCAGTCTCTCCAAATGCATCACCCACTATCTAGTGGCCATGTCATTGGCAGATCTGATGCTGGTTTTCATCAAAGTCGTTTTCCATAGCATTAATCCATGTTACTTTCCAAATTTGTTTGTGTTCATTACTCCTGTGTGTTGACTCGTAGTGTTCCTGGGCTTCTGGGAACAACAACGGCAACTTCAGTCTGGTTCACTGTGACTTTTACTTTTGATCGATATATAGCTATTTGTTGCCAACAACTGAAAACAAAATATTGCACCAAAAAAACTGCTTGTGTTGTAATAGCCGTAGTCGATGTATTTTTCATTGGGTAAAACATTCCCTGGTATTCTGTGTTGATGTCAGTCAAATAGTTAATAATATGCCATGGAGGTGCGCAATTAATACCTCGCCTCACAAACGAGAGACCTGGGTTTGATTCCTGGCAGGGTGAAACCTTGGCCAAGTTTCCTTACTCCATATGCCTGATATTAATCCCTCAAGAAAAAAAAAACAATAATAATTTGGTCACTTCAATCCATGACTGTTTGTGGGATACTGCTGTGCGCAATTGGCTGCCGCGTTTCGCCCACAAAAATGCAGTCAATTTACCTTACAGTATTTTCTGCGAAGCGCTTTGAGACATCTAGAAGACGTGAAAAGCGCTACATCAAATTCAAGGATTATTATTATTATTCATAGCTTTTACTCTTGTAATAAAATCTTGCAAGTGAACAGCTAATGTTCTATGTTGCCCTACAGAAAACCATTATTGACCTATCAAAAGAATTTCCTGGGAAAATCAACTGTCATTTCCATGTTACACAGCAGAACTCTGAAATCTCTGAAAACTTGAAACCTTACGTGACCGGTAAGTTTCCTGTGTCCTTCTCATTTTAGCAGAGTCAAGCCAGCTCCTGAAGATATTTTAGTCTGCGGGGTTTAAAATTAAACCTGACCAATGAGGCAAATTACCAAAACATCTCCAAACATAAAAGTATACAATGAGCTTAGTATTCCTGAACATTATTCACAACATTCATTAAATTCACTATACTCTTCAGCTGTATGTATTTAATGATGTATAGTTATAGAATTACGGTTGTTTCAATTTATTGCGTAATTAGTTGGAGGAGAACAAGGGAAAAGCTTTATTTGGCTTTTGCAAACTAAGTGATAGGTGAAGGTAATGTACTAAAAGCATTTCTAGTTTGTTTTAAATTTTTACTGAAATCTAAATTTGTAGCTCAGTTATAATATTTAATTATATTATCTTCCTGAAGTTGGTAGAATACAATTACATACTTGTAGAAGTTCTGGTATACATTATCAGCCTCTCCTTATCCACTGGCACTGTTCTCACCCCCCTAAAAACAGCTGCCATCACCCCCATCCTCAAAAAAAATACCTTCAACACTGTTGACCTTTCTATTCTCCTGCACCGCCTCGCCTCTCAGCTCAGTCTTCGCAGCCCTGCCCTTGCCTGGTTTGAACCCTACCTCAGCCACCATCTCCACTTTGTCACCACTAACGGCTTCTCCTCCAGCCCCCGCACCGTCCCATATGGCGTCCCTCAGGGCTCTGAGCTTTGCCCTCTCCTTTTCAATATATGTTCCCTCTTGGTGACATCATCTGCAGACACGGGGTCAATTTCCACATGTATGCGGATGACACCCAACTCTATCTTTCTGCCTCCACCCTCGATTCCAGGACCACTGCTGTCCTGACAGACTGCTTGTCGGACATCAAGTCCTGGATTAGAGCTACCTTCTTGCAGTTGAATGTCAACAAGATCGAGGCTCTCCTGCTTGTCTCCCGTCAGTGACTCCATACCTCTGGCACGGAGAGCATCTCCCTCCATGGATGCACTCTACATCTCACGGAGCCAATACGGAACTTCGGCCCTCAACTGTCCTTCATGCCCCACATCTGTGCTCGACTACACAAACTCCCTGTTTGTCGGCCTCCCCAACTCCTTCCTCCACCGGCTGCAGATCATCCAGAACTCTGCAGCACGTGTCCTCTCCCGCACCAAGCTCCGTGACCCTATCACCCCCATCTGCACCTGACTCCACTGGTTTCCCATCACACAGAGGATACAGTTCAACATCCTGATCCTTAATTTCAAAGCCCTCCATAACCTTGCTCCCCCCACCCCCCACCTTTACGACTTCCTCACCTTCTACCATCCTGCCCGTTCCCTCCACTCAGGGGTCTCCGGGGTACTTCAGGTACCCCTCCTCGCTCCACCGTTTGCGGGCGGTCTTTCAGCCCCCCTGCCCCCACCCTCTGGAGCTCCATCACGCAGTACCTCCGCCTCGCCCCCTCCTTTGCCTCCTTCAAAACCGTTCTCAAGACCTTTCTCTTCAACCGTGCCTTCAGTTACCCACTTGCCCCCCACCTTCCCCGGTCCTGACCCCCAGATCGGGTCCAAAACACTGATTTTTTTTTCATGTCAGACATCCTCCCGACGTGAAAGGCGCTATACAAATGTAATTTTGTTTGTTTGTTTGTTATACAGCTCTTTGCCTGTGACCATTCTTGATTTAAGAGCAGGGGAAGAAGGGGAATCACAGTCAAGCATAATATTGTCTTCACAGAGCATGCACAGGTACACATATGACCTGCTGCTGCATATTAATTGATGACACAAATGGCATATTATGCATTATATTTCACAAACCGTATTTGTGCAATTGCTTTTAAATTGACACCTTTCTTATAGCTTCTGTTATTCAAGGTAATAGAATTTATCAATAGGAATAAATCAACATCGGAATCAAGTTTGACACTTAACATTTGCCTAACATGTAATAATGCTCCTTGCCTGATATATTGCATTTTGAATTTATTTTAGTATTTAAGGAAGCACTCAACCAAAGTACTTTATGTATTTTTAATACATTGAGACCATGGAGCTTCATCATGACTTCTGGAAATGATTTGGTAATATAAGCCAGCCCTCTTTGTCTTGAAGTTGCTGCCTCACCCTGTTTGACATGGTGAACAATTAGTCAACTTTCATTGTTGGATCTCTCAGCTTCCCTTAGAGAAGTTTATACCATCCATGAATACATGTATCTGATCTTCTTTCTTCCATATTCAGTATCTTTCATTTATCTGTATTGAATTTTGTTTGCCAGTCATCATGCCATGTGCACACCCTCGCCATTTCACTTTGTAAGACCTTTCTGATTCCACAGTTCTACTCAATCAAGGAGCAACAAATATTTATCTACATTTATTATTGGTATAAAGGCACTCCTTTCAGACAAGTACTCTTTTAGTCACTCACTACAATCGTGCCTTTTTAGGCTCCTCTTCCCCCTTGTGTATTTTTCTAATTTTTCTCAATTCATTGCCTTCAGACATTATTTAAAATCATCTATTTTTGACTATCAAAAATGTATTTGTGTGATGTTAAGAAACGCTACAAAAATTCAGAATATCGATGAATACTGTTTTTTTATGTATGTGACAAGCCATAGTTCAATTTCAGTGCCAGATGTCTGTAGTTGTTTCACTAAAAATGTATTTGCATGGGAAGCAGCACAAGACGCTGGATCTTGTTAAATTCAAACATGCATGACAAGCCAATTCACATGATTGTGTGCATTTAGCCTGTGGGCCTTATGCTGTGCACCTGTGCTCCAGACCTGTGATCCACACTACTACCAGACCCATCTTGCACATGTACTGCAATAATAGAAATACTGTAAATGCAAAGCACTTTAACAGCATCTGAACTAAAAACTGGTTTTAATGAAGGATCATATTAAAACACCTGTTTTTCTCAATCAGATGCTGATCACCCTGCTTCACACTTTCTGTTTCAGATTTCAGTCAATCTCATCTTTTACTTGCATGCATTCTTTAGTAATTCAGACAAGCTCTGGCCCCTTTCCAAAAAAATTCTTGCAGAAACTCTTGAGAATGATTCATAACACAGATTTTGCGGAACGTTGTGTGATTTTTAAATGCGTCTGGTTTAGGGCACCAGGATGCAGATTTAATCTCTTCATGTATAAATTTTCGAATGGCTTCAAAGTGAAGTGCCAAGTGGATGTTAACACACCATCACAGGAAGGGGTAAAGCAGAAAATCTCTCTTTTCCTGCAAATGATTCTTGTGTGAGACCTCTTAATTGGCCAGAAATGACCTAACAGAGTTAGTGAAGGAAATGTTAGTTTTTTGAAAATAAACTCTTGAGCTATTTTTGCTGAATACTTACTCCCATATTCTCTGTATAAGAAAGCGGATGATAGATTAGCTGTCGGGTTAATGAGTTCCATGTAGCAGTTAGTATTTTATGTTAAATAACGTTGTTTCAGGAGCATGTCATTTCAATCTGCAATATCTTAATGACAGCTTTAATTTTTTTCCAGCTGGAAGAATATCTGAAATGACTCTGGCACAACATGTATCCAAGAACAACATCTGTTTTATTTGTGGTCCACCTCCAATGATAGAGTCAGTATCTCAAAAGCTGGAAAAACTTGGTGTTCCTAAAGAAAATATAATTTTTGAAAAGTGGTGGTAGTACATTCTTAATGAAGAATTTTATCATTGGAATTATTCAACATTTAACCTCATGCCCAACTTATCAAAACATATGTAACTTTACTCTTGGTATTGCATATTATTCTTGGGTGGTCTTTCCTTAGGTTAGCACTAAAGCTCTGTGTATATATAACCATAAAGTTCTTTCAGGTCAGCACAACTGGATGTGATGTGATCCCTGTATTGAATGATTTGAATTGTTATCAGTAATGACTCAGTTCATGATACAATCTCATAATATTAAGTCAAGGTTATATGCTTCTAATTTGTTCATATAGTCCATATTCTGTATAATTGATATTGTACTGAGTTGATAGACCCCTGAATACTACAGAATACTTAATTTCCATTCTTTAAATCAAGAAAATACTACATTTGTGAGAACATCTGTTGAAAAATGTATCCTCTCAAAATAGTACTATTTGTACAAGATAAATACTAAACATTAATGTTTGCAGCTGTCTGTTGAGAGAAGAATGATCCTGTGCTGCAAATTCAATGAATATCAAAACAACAACAAATTACACTTGTATAATGACCTTCACATCAGAAAAAGTTTTGGTGTGTTTTTAAAACTAGCACTGCATGTTCTAGGTTCCCTGCAATATTTAACAGCTAAAAATACCCACCAAGTGTAGCCCTAAGCTATACAGATTAAAAGGTTGCTGGCTCAAATATGAACTAGGCTGTTTTTCAAAGTTTTGCCTGAAAGGGGCAAATATTGGGCATAGGAATCTTTTACAAAAAATAAGATGCTGTCCAGTTTATTCCTCAGCACAATTCATATAATTCCAAGAATAAGATTGATTTTGCATTGTTTTATTCTATGAGCATTGATTATGATTGTTTCTGCATTATCACTAACCATTAGCTAATTGTGGATTACTATTATATCACAGTGTTCCAGAATGCTTTTGTTGAATTTCCCCATTGACACTGTTACAAATCCGCCAGCATTGTCATGATTTTGTGATGCATGTGCCTCTTGCGATATGTTCATGAAAACACTTGTAATATGTAGTCACTGGTTATAATATTTAATTATAATTGAACCCTGTTTTATGCAGTCTATGGAGACAAATATGCTCAATATGTAAACTATTATGACTTACTACAAAGTGCAACATTTAATTATTTTTCATATAAAGAATTTGCTCTGATCTAGATTTGTGTGCGAATTAGAATGTTATTGCATTCAACAATTTATTGTCCTTTGGATTTGCTTTACAGAATTTAAAGAAACTGAGATATTACTGATTATTTTATAGTGTGGTTTTGAGGTCGAATCTCATGTGATGTGAATATTTTGATGAATATATACTGAAATAAATTATTGAATCTCTATCGTTTTGTGTTTGAAGCCCCATTCTTCATTTACTACATTCTGCACGCAGCAGATTGAACACAACATATAACAACTTTTTATGTCACAATCAGAATTTGCCAAGCAAAGGAGGCGAGAGATGACTGTTGGTTCAGTAAATGGGGGTAGTTTTTTTAGATCTGATTAAAGACTGATGTGGGGGTGGGGGGCTGAGAGTATTCTAGAATTTAGGGCATAATTGCTGAAGGCTCAGACACCAATGGTGAATTTGAGTAGTTGGAGTTGCATAGCAGTTCTGCATTTGTAGGGCAGTCGGGCAAGGGGAAGAGTGAGGTATGGTCACAATATTAAGGAGGTAAAAGGGCATGAAGGGTTTTATTGGTGTGACTGGGGACCCTGAAATTGATCCACTGGGAAACTGAAGCCATGGAATCGGTTGAGGGTGGTGGGCTTGCAAATTTGATATAGGTGAGGGTCCCAGAGTTTTGTATGAGCTGGAGCTTGTGGATGGTGGAACTAGGGAGATGGCAAGGAGTGTGTTTTGAGAAGATGAAACAAGAAAATTAGTTGTCTACATTCCTTTCAACAATGCATGTCTGCAATAATGTGGCTGCCAGGGAGGTCAAATTTGTAACTTATAACCTAAGGAATCATAGAATCTTACTAAATTAATAAAGAAGGATCGCATATGGAAGCTGCACTTAATGGAAATGAGTTTTGAGGTATCCAAACTGGAGAGAAAGATCTAGAGCTTTAAAGTGGAAAAGTCACCAAAAACATTAATAAAACAAATATTCCCAACTAGGAAATGGTTACAGTTAAGGCTGCAATGTATATGTTCAGAGAGGTGATTCTACAATATGTGAACTTGTGGAGTCCATGTACGAAGTTCTGAAAGGGATATTTAGTTGTTGTGAGGAGGGCAGCAGAGAGCTACTAGTTTAATTGTAGGTATTCACAAACCGCTGTGAGGAAACGTTAGCCACAGTAGGAATTTTCTCTTGATCAGAAGATTGTGGGGGTCTTAATGAAGGCGTATATAATCTTGAAAGTTTCAGATAGGTTGAGCAGTATACAAAGTTTAAGAAGAAAGGGTCATATTCTGATCTAAAATGGTGTGAATATTCTGCATTTGAGTCACTAGTTGTACCATCTGGTTTCTAAATATGAGATTGCGAGATGAGCAAAAAAATTACAAAGACCATGGGCAAAGTGCAAAAATAGCTGGTGAGTACAACCATTTTACTCATAAATATTTATTCAAACCGCTGATGTGATTTTCCATTTTAACAATCACGCAATCTGAAATTTACAAAATGGAACTCAAATCTGGTTGTCCAAATATCCGATATGATGGCAGTATGCAAAATCAAGAGAACAAAGAGAATAGGAAATGCAGGAGATTTTTATTGTTAAGATCTCCAGGCTAAAGCACACAAAACATATTACCAGCCATTATCCAGCTTGTCTTTAATCCCTCCACAATCTGCTCACCCTACCTTCACAGTCTCTCTAGTTCTGCATTCCAGCTCATACCCTCTGAGTTCCAAAAATAACAATGAATAGTAGCTAATTAATTTGAATTTGGAGATAAATTTGAATGAGGAGAGTGTAAAATATTGCATTTATGATACACTAAACTGACATCTTGACCCTGGTTTAACTACCAGTAGCTACCACTTAAGTCATCAGGCTGTCAATATCATCAGGCTGTCAATATCCTGGCTGCATTTACTTATGCCTAACTCACCACCCTGAACAACTCATCACTGAACCCTTTCCCTTGAAGTAATAAGTTATCAGGAGTTTACATAACATAATAACATAACATGTAGGAGCAGGAGTAGGCCATTCGGCCCTTCGAGCCTGCCACGCCATTCAATCATGGCTGATCTTCTAATCTAACTCCAGCTAATAACCTGACCCTGCCTTATCCCCATGTCCCTTAATCCCTTTTGCAATAAGAAATATATCTATCTCAGTCTTGAATATGTTCAAGGACTGAACATCAACAGCCCTTTGGGGTAGTGAGTTCCATACATTCACCACCCTTTGCGTAAAGAAGTTCTTCCTCAACTCAGTGAGAAAGGGCTGGTCTCTGATTTTAAGGTTGTGACCCCTGGTTTTAGTTTCTCCAACCAGGGGAAACAATCTCCCACTATCTACTCTATCACGCCCTGTGATGATCTTATAGGTTTCTATAAGATCCCCTCTAATTCTATATTCTAGAGAATATAGACCCAAATTGGTCAGCCTATCCTCGTAACTCATCCCTGGTACTAACCTAGTAAATCTACGCTGCACCCCCTCCAAGGCAAGTACATCCTTCCTTAAATAAGGAGACCAAAACTGCACACAGTATTGCAGGTGTGGTCTCACCAGGGCCCTATACAGTTGCAGCAAGACTTCCCTACTCTTATACTCTAATCCTTTCATAATGAATGCTAACATACCGTTCGCCTTCCTAATTGCTGCTGCACCTGCAGACTAACTTTCTGCGATTGGTGTACAAGGACACCCAAGTCCCTCTGGACACTAACACATTCCAATCTCTCCCCTTCTAAAAAAAAACCGCTCTACTGTTTTTGCTACCGAGGTGGATGACTTCGCACTTCCCTACATTATACTTCATCTGCCACCTACCTGCCCAATCACCTAACCTATCTATGTCGCGCTGCATTTTTTTAATATCATCCTCTGTGTTGACACTTCCTTCTAGTTTTGTGTCATCCACAAATTTAGATATATACTTACTGTAAATAATAATCATTGCCGTTGTCACAGCATCTTATCATGTCATCAAGACATCTCAAAGAGCTTCGTAGAATTTTACTGTAGGACTGTGTTTACAGGCAAGTTTGTGCGCAGTCAAATTTGTACACAGCGATATCCCACAATCAGTCATGAAGTGAAAGACACCAGGAGAAACTCCCTTCTCTTTTCGAGAACTGCTATAGAATCTTTAACACCCACCTGAACAAGCAGCCAAGACCTCGATTTAAAGTCAGAAGGGCAGCACCTGCCAACAATGCAGAAATGCCCAACACTGCATTGGAGTCTCAGCCTAGATTTTCTTTGAAATGTGAGAGGGGAGTCCTTTGCGTCCACTTTAATCACAAACCAGCTGAAACCTAAATTAATAACATACAGTAATGATCTGGAAATCAATAGTACTTGTACTTAATATAGCATTTTGTTATATAAACAACCTCATTCCCTTTGCTACCATACAGATAAATCCTTGTAGGATTTGTTAAAAACAATCTTCAGAAAGTAACAATGCAGTAACCATATAGCCTTGTCTGAAGTTTTCATCTGTTTAACCAGGTCGGTTCACTTAATAAAATTAAGAAATATCCACAGGATATTGAAGCAAATAGCATGTTTCCAATACCAACCTTGATTAATACAGAGAAAAACAAACATTCAGATGTTGAAATTCTGAAAGAAAGCCGGAAATTACTGGAAATGCATAGCAGGCAAATTAGCATCAGGAAGATACATAAATTTAACGATTCACAGGAATAGGAAAACAGGAGCAGGAGGAAACCATTCAGTTTCCACTTTCAAAATTGTATACATCTAGCCTGTCAATTCCTTTCATTATTTTAAATACCTCCATCAACATACCCCTTATCCTCTTCTGTGATAAGAATATAACTCCAATCTACCCAGCCTCTCATCATTGCTAAGACCTGTCAGCCCAGATATTAATCCCGCAAACCATCAATCCACTTTAAGACTGGATGCCCAAAACTGACTGCAGTCGTCCGAATGAGATCTGACCATCACATTATGTAACTTGAGAAGCACCTCCCTTCATACAGTATGTTTGTTTCAGCTAAAACTTACTTTATTTTTTTTTATTTTTCAATTTTAATTTCACTGGTTGTTGCTGCAGATTAGCTGCCATATTTGCTCACATAATATTCTATTTATACAAAATTGCATTATTTCTAGATCAGCATCCCATTCTTTGATTTTATTATTAATTTTAGGTTCTGATGGGTTTGTGATTCAGCTGGGCGTTAAAGCAATCAATCTTTTATTGTTATGTCAAAGATCTGAAGATTGTTTTTAACATAGCGTTTGCCTATATAACATTCACTTATTCAAGTTTAAATACAATTTGTCCTTCAGATTAGATGTTAAATCAAGATCTCATTTGCCTGTCCAGGTGGATGTTAAAAATGTCAAGGCACTTTTCAAAAAGAGAAGGGAGTTTCTCCTGGTGTTCTGGTCAACAATCCCCCAAATAAAATTGGTCATTTACTCCATGGCTGTTTGTGGGACATTGCTGTGTTTAAATTCGCTGCTGTGTTTGCCCGTAAAATACACACTACAGTATATCCTGTGAATTACTTTGAGATGTTTCAACCGCATGATAAGGTACTATATCAAATGCAATGATTATTATTATTGCTATTATTATTATACCATTCAGCTGTTTATATTTAGGGTGAAAGGCGCAATATAAAAGCAAGTTATTATCCTTACAAATTATAGGAAGTTTTGTATCATGGACATAACCTAGTCAGTAGTAAATTGAATCATTTTACAACCATAAGAGGGCAGAAACTTTCATCTTACAAATGTAGGCTGCATTGTCACGTAGATTCAGGAAATGAACAAATAAACTACAAACCCACTGTACAACAGAGTTCTCCCCTTCACCCAAATAATTCTTTTATTGTTATTTTAGAATTTAAAAATAGAATAATCCCCTGTCAATGATCTGAATGTTATTGAAACTATTCTTCAATGTGCTGCAAATATAAAATACTGTAGTCAGTCTTTCTTCACCCACAGGAAGATCATAGATTAAGTTTGAGACTGGGAATGCTGAAATACATTGCTGATTTATGTAGCTCATAAAACATGCTTCGGTGGTAAAAATCGAAAGGGAGCTCAGTCAAGCTAACAATAAAAACAGATCTGATTCTTCAATTTTTTTTCTCTACAAGAACTTTGTTTGCATCTCCCCAGTTAATTCAGCCTGCTGACAGGCTATTCCCTTTGC